AAGTTAAAACTATTTCTGGAAGTGTTTGCTGGAGCAGAAGATAATCCTAGAATATTTTGCCCATGTAGGCAGAGCATAATGGACAAACAGCTATGTAGGAAAAAAATTCTCCTTTATGAGATTGCGTAATGGTAAAGATTAGAACTATGTCAGTAGAAAGATAAATTGATTTTGATAGTTTGCAATAATGAACCTAAATAGGGTTGGATACAGCCCTCTTGTATAGGTGCTGCAGTACAGATAATCCCCGAGTTACGAGCATTCACTTAATGCTCGTTCAATGTTACATGATAAGAGCTCCCTAGTGCTTATGAGCAAATCCCGAAGTTACAAATATTGCAGCACCATGGCAGTTGTTTGCCTTTACGAGTGACCGCAGTGGCTCTGCAACATTCACCCTGGTTATTCCTTCCCTCTCCATCCCCACCCCGGGTCTTCCTAGTCACCAGGCCTTCAATATTCACCCTACGAAGATCGAGATCCTTCACTTGGCTGTTCTAGGCCTTTGGTGCGTTCGCAGAGAATGGAGGCCTAAAGTAACGCAGATCTCACGCTACTGATCTCACATGATCTAATGGTACTTTAGGTCCCTGTTCTCTGCAACAGAGAACAGAACCAAAGCCGGGGGACGCTTCCCCTGCCTCAGATCCAGGCAGCAGTGGTCTGGAAAAGGCCTCCGGAGCCCGGATCGGGCTGCGGGGAGAGTGCGGAAGCGTCCTCTGGCCTCAGATCCAGGTGGCAGCAGGAACTGCGGCAGAGAGGAGACAGATCTTTTCCAGGTGAATCTGGTGCGGCAGGAAGAGAGGGGGAAGCATGTGGTATCTTAGTGGGTCGGGGAGGCCTTGGGGGCCTGTTCCATCACTAGGCCCTTCGTGGCCTTTCCTACCCTGAGATACCTCATGTTCACTTAACGAGCTGCAAGTGTTTTAATGAGCAAGGGAGTAATCTCTTTTGAGGTACGAGATTCACTCTACGAATTTTCGAGTTACGAGTGGATTGGGCAGGCTCCATTACACTTGTAACTTGAGGACTGCCTGTATCTATGATCCATGAAATCAGAAGTGGGACTAAAATATCAGTGGTTTTATGAAGAATATAGTGATCGTACGTTAGAATAAACCAGGGGTGTCAAACTCAATTTCATTGAGGGCCGCATCAGCATTATGGTTGCCCTCAAAGTGCCAGTTGCTGTCCCCTTCTCTCCCTCAGGCTTGGCCCACAGAAGCCTCTCCTCTCCTATCCCCTTTTTTCCCTCAGGCTTGCTCCACTGACATCTCTCCTCCCTATCGCCTTCTCTCCCCCCTTACTTCTCCTCCTTCCCATCCAAACCCCTCCTTTTACATCCTCTCCTCCCCTCCACATGCATTCACTCACTACCTGGCTGGCCTTTTCATCCTGCGCTCATCAGCTGGAGCTTCTTGCGCTGATTCTGGGGTCCCTGCCAAGCACCGACAGCCCCGCAGATCCAGCTGACACTCTGCCCGAAGACTACTTGTGGCTGCCGACCATTTCTGAGGTCGCCGAAAGCCCCAATCAGCTGGAACCGCACGTACCGATCCTTGGACTTCAGCAGAGTCCCAGCAACACTGCAGCTTCAGCTGACTTTCCCCCAGGCCTCACTGGCGCTGCTGCTGCTTCAGCTCACCACCCCCACTGCTACATACTCAGTCACCTCCTCCTACTAGTTGGCTTGTGGGCCAGGTCTAAACACATCACAGGCCGGATTTGGCCCACGGGCCTTGAGTTAGACATGTTTGGAATAAACGTTACTGATACTATTATTCCTGTTACAGATAGTCCTCAGTTAATGTCAGCAATTGGGATCAGAATTGCCATTGTTAGGTGATGCAGTTGTAAAGCATTATATCACATGACTGTGCTTTTAACCACAGCAATTCTAGCAGTCCCAGTTTTGTTAAGTGAGGAGCTTTCTTCACTGCAGTTTCTGACTTCCCACTGGCTTCCCTATTGACCTTGTTTCTGACAGTTGGAACTCCAAGGAGCTGTCATAATTACCATTCAGCAGGGTCATAAGTTTGAAGACTTGCTGAAGGAATGGTTATTAAACAAGGACCACCTGTACCTTTCTTGTCTGTTTCCTTGACGAGGAGAAATACAATTTTTAGAAGGATATAGAAGTAGGATGCTTGAAAGGATGTAAGTATTTCATTCAGACTGTTCCAATCTGATACTCATGACCTGTCCTTTAAGGATAAGGAGCTAAAATAGTTTGTTTCAACCATTTACCTAATGCAGGTAAATCATTTGAGAAAGATACTTGGCCTAGGGCCAGGTTACTTGAGGGACTACCTATCTTGAACAGTATCTGGCCAACCTATTTAATATGGCAGATATGGCACTCTCCAGATTCCTTCAGTGAAACCATGCTATCTATCAGGACCCCAGAAGTCTGCCTTCTCTGTCATAGCACTTGTCCTATTGAATGAGCTCACCCCCGCTCAGATCTGAATGGCCCTGCTCTGCTGGTATTTCAAAAGAGCCTGAATATCTGGCTGTTCATCCAGGCTCTTGGTGAGGATGAATGACATCTTTTTTTGACCTAGGTTTTGTTTCCACCTGGTTTGTTATTCTGCCATCTCTATCCTTTTTTATTTCTTGTTTTTCTTGTCTTATTTTCATCCTTTAAATCAGAGGTCCCCAACCTTGGCAACGTTAAGACTTGTGAACTTCAACTCCCAGAATTCCTCAGCCAGCCAAGCTGGTTGAGGAATTCTGGGAGTTGAAGTCCACAAGTCTTAAAGTTACCAAGGTTGGAGACCCCTGCTTTAAATAGCTTTGTGAACTGCACAGTCCCTGGGAATCAAGCAGCATATAAATTTAAAGAATGGTAATTCAGAATGCAGTACCTTTTTTTTTTTCAAAATGATGTACCAGTGCATGGATTTACAGCCAATAAATAGTAGTTCTAATTTTTTGTGTTCTTCTGTGACTTTTTTTTTTAACATTCTCAATGTTTTTTAATTCTAATTTGAAATTAGAATTTGAATGTGAGTTATAAGGGACAATTTCCTTCTCTAGCTTTAAAACAGCAATCCCCAACCTTTGCAGCTTGGTGGCACGATTGGGGAGGGGGGAACGGGGCCATGCAATTGGTGGGCTAGCGTGTGCGCACATGCACACAGTTCTTGTGCAAGCGGCAAGCCAGTGTGCACATGCACAGCTCAGATTGTGCAAGCGGCAGGCTGGTGTGCACATGCAATTGCCCACTGGCTCGCCACTCACAGAAGTTCAGCTGCGCAGGCATGTGTGTCCAGCTAATAGGCTACGGTCTGGTAGTGGGCCATGATCCAGGACTTGGGGACCCCTGTTTTAAAGTATATGTGTAGATAAGCCATTGTTCAGATCAAAGATGTATATATCAAGGATGATCTGGATCTACTGGTAGTTCTGTGAGTGTTGGGATAGATTACCTGCCAGATATTCTTGACTTTGACAGTTGTAAAATTGAGGTTGGATTTTTGCTAAATTCTGATTATTGATTACAAATTCCCAGCCTGAGACGTGTGTTCAGAAGTGCTTGTACCTGAATTCTTAACCATTTAGGTACATTTTCATTCCGAAATGTAAAAGGAAATTATAAATAGCACTTAGCTATGGATGCAAATTGCTAGTGTCAGTTAAAATGGACAAACAAAATTTACTCAGGCAGCTTATAAAAAGTTTAATTTGTTTAATATTCATTGTGCCAAGAGGAAGAATGAGGCTTGGAATATATTATTAATTAAAACACAAAAAGTTTTATTTATTCATTCATTGATTTTTTTATGGCTACCCATTTGTAGCTCGTGGTGTCTTGTTTTTATAGTCTGAATGTATGACATGTAAATTAAATGATGCAGTATTAAAGTAGCATAAGGCAATATATAAAGTGTTTAAATTATTTAAACACTTATGCAAAGATTAAATCTGCACATTTCAAAATTATGTATACATTAATCTAGTACTTATTAGTCTAATGATGTTAACAATATATACTTTGCTATGGAAAGCAAAAGAGAAGAGAAATTTCATGGGCATATATTTGTTGTGCATTTCCTTTGGCAAACTGGCACAATAGAAACTGTTATGGCATGATGGTAAGAATATAGCATTGCAGGTTAACTCTGCCCACCGCCAGGAGTTTAATCCTCACCGGCTCAAGTTCACTCAGTCTTCCATCCTTCTAAGGTTGATAAAATGAGGTCCCAGATCGTTGGGGGCAAACTGCTGCTATTGCTAATAAAATATTGTTTCAAATTTTTTTTAAAAAAGCCTGATTCCCATGATTTCCACCTCCCTTCTTGCTTTTGTAATATGTTTTAGCAATGCCAGTCACTGAACGGCTGAATACAATTTTTAGGAACAAAGGGGTGTATAGCTAATGAGGAGTTGAACTCCTTGGCAATAGGATAGAGGCTTCCTGAAGGAAAGCATTGTTGAAGAGGATGAAGCTTTGTAAGTGACATAGATTAACTTTAGATGGGTTAATGGAATGATAAGTGGGAATGATCGTGAGAGACAGGAAGAAGAGCTGCAGACATGGCAACTATCATGTAAAAAAAAAATCTTAGTCCACAGAAGGAGTGGGGCTAGGAAGCATTTCAGAAGGGATCTTTCCTAGTTTTCCAGAGAGTAAAAAGGAGGATCAATCTTGCAAGATTCTGTTAATGTAAGCATACAATAAAGGTAGTGTTGGTACTCATAGTTGTGCTTTTTGTCTGGACTACCTCAAAGGGCTTAAAAAAGACTTAAATGCTTAAGCCTACGGTCTACTACTACTATGGTGGTATTGAAGTATTATTGAACATGAGAAAGGTGTATTTTGTATCACTGAGGTTGGTACCTTGAATATAAATGAAATTGCATTTGCAAAAAGAAATATGCATCTTTTAGTTAGAAAACACAGTAAATTATCTGGCCTCAACTAGTTAAGTATTAATCTTGGATTAGGGGATATCCCAAATAAATTTGTAATTACTTCAAACTTATTTATGCTTTAGGATGAAATTTCTGATGTTAGCCAAGCAGGGTCCAAATCTACTACACCAATCTTAACTGCTGCTTCAGATGTGCTTAAGTCTGCTGAGTCTCCCCTGCATGAAGACAAGGAAGGCCTTGCAAAGAATTCTGATTCATGGAACCAGAAATTGGACATAAGCAAGCACATTGAAGTGCAGGTAGCCCAGGAAACAAGAAATGTATCTATTGGTAAGTTGCTAGATTATTCACATTTTGAGTAATTTAATAGTTTGAGTAATTTAAAATCCATAGTATGCCTACAGGTTCCAGAATTAATAAATTTACTTAGAGTGCTACTTGTATTCCTTATAGGAAGACCTCCTCATACAGAAAGCAGCAGGAAAGTCATGTGAAGGTGGCCTTATTGATCACAAGCAGGCTTCAGTGTATTTACAGACTATGAGATTAAATAACAACTGCTCTCAGATTTAGTATATGATTAAGACTAAGTTGTCACATTTAAGGCTCTTTATGCTGGAAAAATATTATTTTCTATATGACAACATGTGTTACTAAAGTTTTTCACATTTAGAAAAGATGGTCGGTGAGAAGTGATCATTAATTTTGGAATCTAATAATCTTGTGCATTGACTGGTACAGTGGCTGGTATAGTGTAATGATTTTACGTGTTCGACTCGGACCAGGCAAAATTAAATTTTGATTCCTACTTGATCATGAAGCTCACTGTGTCAATGGGGGCCAGTCATTCTTTCTCATTCTTACCTAATTCACAGGATTATAGTTTGAGAATAAAATTAGGGGAGATCCTATGTATGCTGCCTTTAATTCTATTTCATATTCCTTGCTTTTAACAATATTTACTTATTTCTTTTGAAGGATCTAATGAAAATGATGACAAATCTGAAGTTCAGGCAATCATTGAATCCACTCCAGAGCTGGATATGGATAAAGATCTTAGTGGATATAAAGGTTCAAGGTATTTTGCCAGCAATTTTCAATCACTGGAGAGCTTAGGAAAAAATACAAATAGCACAAGAGAGTTTTGTAGCTCTTTGTGATCGTTATGGCATATGACCAATCTCTTGATCAATACTTTTCAGTCAGTACTAGTGTTCTGGCATTCTGTGGCACTCAGATTTTCTATTGATGCTCTGGCTCAAAAATCTTTGATCTACCGTGAAGGGCAAAACAGTATGTGCAGTAGCCATCGCTCAATATCTCCTCATAAGGGTAATATGTCAGATTGTTACGCTGCTTCTCATTTCCACCCGCTTAGCATGGAGGAAGAGACTGCAGGGTGTGGTTGGAGGCTCTAAAGAAATGAAAATGGCTAACCTGTTATGGTGGCAATGTGGATACAAAACTGTCAGGAAGAAACTAAGTGAATCAGAGGAGCTTGTAACCATGTGAACATCAGTGTTGTGGAGGAGAAAATAGTGCCTTGATTAATGTGCCTAATATTTCTGCATCCTACCAGGAAAAGACAGAGAAAGGAAAGGGGGAAAGGTTATTGCTGAATGTGTCATTTTGCTTTAGCTTTCTTAAATAGTAAACCATTAATTGTGGCATAGTTTTTTGTGGAGCAGAATTTACATTAGAAAGTTCGCACATTTGTACACTGAAATCTAGACTGGTGAAGTCTTTTTAAAAAGATCTAATTCTTTTCCTACATTCGAATTCTATTGTGTAGCACTCCTACCAAAGGCATAGAGAACAAAGCATTTGATCGTAATACAGAATCGCTCTTTGAAGAACTATCTTCTGCGGGTTCTGGTCTGATTGGGGATGTGGATGAAGGAGCAGATTTGCTGGGTGAGTATTTTTTTAAAATTGTTTAGAAATGGTGAAAGCAATTTACAGAATAGTTCAAGGATAGAGTTCTAAGAAAAAAGTACTCAAGATATTTCCATACATAATTTGCCTAGTGAATAGAGTTAAAAGCATTCACTATTTACCATAGCTCTTTGATGTTCTCATTTGTTTAAATGTTTAACATATAATCATATTTATGCCTGCACTTATTTATTAAAAAAGGGTTCCCATTAGCAACCAATCTTTTGGCCAATCATCTGGGAAACTTACAGCTCAAATAGTGGGTTGCGATGGTGACCATTTTGTTTATTTCATAATGGTGAGATTTTCTTAAATCTGCCATTGCATCATTATGCTTTCGGTTGCTATTAATGTATGTTAGATGACTATCCCTAATATTTTACATTTTTTTCAATCTGACAATTCAGTCTCCCTCCCACCTCCTCCAGTCTGGTTTTGTTTATGTGGATGAGTAATCTGGAAAATAGGCAGAAGAGAAAGGAGGAATTTATTTTAGGAAATCTGTAACTTTTTACCTATAAAAGAACTTCCTAGATGCTTTTTCTATCTAGGAATTAATGGGGAAGGCAATGTTTCCCCCTCTTGTAAAGTTTTAAAAAAAGGAGTGCTTTTGACATTAGTACAGTTGAAGTGGGGATTGCTGTAAAAGTCTGGTTGTTCTCCCAAGTTTTGAGCGGGGGTGGCCGAAGCCCCTCTTTGGGATATTAGAAGTTAATGGGATGTTTGGGGTGTCTGCTGGGTTTGCTATTTTGCTCCTTTTTCTTTTTTTGTTCTAGATTGTTTTTTGTAGTTTGTTATTTCTTATTATATTGTTTTATACAGGTAGTCTTCAATTTCCAACCAAAACTGAGCCCCAAATTTATGTTGCTATAAGCAAGACATTTAAGTGAGTTTTGGTCCATTTTATGACCATTCTTGCCACAGTTGTTAATTGAATCACTGCAGTTGTTAAGTTAGTAGCACTGTTGTTCTGGCTTCCCATTGACTTTGCTTGTCAGAAGGTCGTAAAAGGTGATCCCGTGACCCCAGGGCACTGCAAAGGTCATAAATATGAGTCAGTTGCCAAGCGTCTGAATTTTGATCAGGTGACCATGGGGATGGTCATACAGTTATAAGTGTGAAAAATGGTCATAAGTCACTTTTTTCAGTGAGGTTGTAACTTTGAACGGTCACTAAATGAAATGTTGTAAGTCGAGGACTACCTGTATTGCCTGGTGTATTGTCAGATGCCCAATGTATTTGGAGTTGGGTGGCATTGGAGGGAATAAGATAAATAAATGTTTAACATGCCTTAAAATGTCAAGAGGAATTTTTTCTGAGGTAACATGTCTTTTGTTGTACAACTGAGATATATGTGAATTGTTCCTTCTTCAAACACTTCTTGGTGGAGGAACATCTTCCACCCCAAAATTCATGCGAAGAACACACTTCCCTCTATTCATTTGAAAGTGTATTTTTGTGTTAGTTTAAAGGGAGAGAAATCTTTACTTACAGAAAAATACTACATTTCCTTTCTCCCTCTCTCTCTTTTCCACTTCTCTTTGTAATTTAGTTCCTCGCCCCTGGCTCTGTTTGCTTAAAACAAAACCCAAAAAAGAATAGTAGATGCTGCCAATGTTTTATAACTTATCCCATTCCTCTAGCAGTCACTTTATGTTACGCCCATACTGTTTCTGCATTTTTTTTTAAAAAATAAGATTTTTGAACCATTAAGGTTAATCCTATAATAGATATAAACATCATAGTGGCACCTGATGAGTATGGTCTCAGTTATGTTATTGCTGTTGAGGGAAGTGGGGAGTGACTTTGATGAGAGGAGAAATGGCTGTAGTAAAAGCATAAAAAAGGGGGATACGTTAGAGACTGCAACAATTTCACTTTTATACCAAAATAGGTAATTTTAAGGGTATATTTAAATAGATCACTAATGCAGTATTAAGGTGATTAACAGGCAGGCCATCATTTGTAATACTGCTCAGTTGTAACCATGTACTAATTACTTTAGCATAGATTTGGTTTTTTTTGTTTTGTTTCTAGATAGTATGTGTAAATAGGGCTACCAATATGCATAATGGTACAGAAGCCCAGTGGTACTTAATCTGAGGGAACACATTTTATATGAAATGTTTTGTATTAGTAGTTTACTGTGTTGTATTTTGGCATGCTTTTGCAACATTAGTTAAATGGGTTTCTCCAATTTGCTTTCTCTTGGGCTGCGTACCCAGGAGAATATTCTGGTTTGTATCCTTTTTATATATTTGAAAGTGATTGTTTTGAAGTTCAGCATTCTTGGCTGTTGCTTTCATAATGTCTGTTTTGCAGTTTGTTTTGTCTTTATCCTGCCTAGTGCTTTTTAATTTATTTTGCCTGATAATTATTCTCTACTCAGAATACCAACAGTTAAAAGTGTTGTTCACATAACTGAAACAGTTCCTTCCTCCAAACTGAAGTATTCTAAAAACTCAAACTTTGACCATTCGTTACGAATAGTCTCCTTTCTGTGGTACTGATCCAAATTCTGCCAATGCAAACGTCAACCTTGGAGAAATGATTGGGAATAAGCACATGGCAAGGAGTAATCGTTCTGAAACAATTTTCATTATTTTTTGAGTCTTCATGCAGGACAAAAGGCTGTTTTCTAATCTGTGAAACCTATGCAAACAGGAAACATGTAGGATGCAAATTACATACTGGCTAGTTGGAAGACAAAAAAAATAAAATAAAAAATAGAATGTGATTATGCCACCCTGACAGAATGGACACAGAGTGTTTCTGCTTCCCACACAGAAAGCCCAGAATCTGGGAATTTTTTTTTAATCTATGGATTTGAGCAGTACTTTGAGTGTGTCTTATCAAACAAGCAAACTTCTGTCCATGTGTTTATATTTTTCCATAGTGCAGTCAGCCTGTCAAGTGTTAGAAGATCCGATATTGAAATAAATTGTACTAAATGCATAAGAATTCCAAAAACTTGTTTTTGCCTTGCTCAACTAACTTTCTGCACAATTTCAGTGTGCTCACAGAATACCCCTCCCTGCAAGAATTTCCCTGTTCCCAAGAGGGACATTTCTGGTGTACAAGCATAATAAATACCAGGTAGCCCATTTGCTCTAGAAGTCATTTAAAGTTTTGTACTTTGAAGTGTAGGCATGTTTTTTTGATGAGAATAGTAGCTTTATTTAAGCCTTAAATAAATGATGCACAGGTAGTCCCATTACTTCGCATGTTGCGACAATCTGACAATCATTAAGTGAGTTCACCTAGCTTAATCACCCCTACCCCCTGCTCTCCCTGATATAGACGTTAAGTGGAGCATGGGGTATCTAAAACTGGGAAAACTTTAGTAGGCCTAGCATAGGCTCAGGCCCACCTGATGCAGACTCCCCAGGCTTTCCCCACTCCCTCAGACACTCTGTGCTCTACTTCCCAACATTTGGGGTCCCCACAGTCCTTGAACTTGCTCTCTTCCTGGATCCCCGCAGGCCTTTCCCCTCCACACTGGCTCCCAATAGACCTTTTGCCTGCTTCACATCCTGCCAGGCCCTACTTCTCCTCCCCACCCCCTGTCATCCATTGTGCACTTACCTTTCAAAGATATCCAGAGCTCCAGACCTGTAGAGTTGTAGCTGCTCCAAAATGGCAGCTAATTTTGGAACATAGTCATCCGGCCCAGTTTTGAAGCAGTATTTTGTGCTTTCCTAACAGAACTTTCTGCAGCACTGTGCATTAGGGAAGCAGAGCAAACTGCTTCATCTCTGGACCACGTGGCTGTGTCCTGGAAGTGGCTGTTGCTTTAATGGGGCCATAAGCTTTCCACAGTGCTGCATAGAGCAGACCGTTTTGTCCCTAGGACACGTGGCTGCATGCTGGAAGTGTCTACCATTTGGATGTGGCCACAGTTCCTTGGCGGCTGCTCAGAAAATGGTGGTCCCTTCTGGGACCCAGGGACCCTGAGGGATGGAGTGGCTTGCCTTCTTTCCCCAACTTGGGGCTGGAGCCCCAGAGCTCTTCCAGAGATAAGTGTGCAGTGGGTGATGGAATTGGAAAACAGGTCCAAGTAGGGACCCAGTGGAGCAGGATGAGGGAAGATAGACAAAGGGGAGGCCACTGCAGCATCTCTGATCATAAGAGTCATGAGAGTGAATAACCATGGAGCCGATATAGCGGCTATAACTTTGGAACAGGGTCATAAATAGTTTTTGAGGGGTGGGTCTGTCATGACTTCGAATGGTTGCTAAGAGACTGATTATCAAGCTAGGACTGTCTGCACTTATCAGTCTCATTTTCCATCATTTCATGTATATGCAGTAATACTATGCATTTTCCTACAGTTACTCACATTTTATGAAGTCGGTTTTTCAAAAGCTAGTACAAAATCAATGATATTCCATTAGTCTTTTGCTGGATCTTGTAAGATATATTATTAATAGCTTATTTTATTTTACCTATATTAAATATGGATGGGAATATATGTGGATAACTGTCAATTAACAACCCCAAATTATTAACCTATTAGATTTGTGTAAAAAGGCCCCATTAAAACTCAAATATCAGACGTGTTCATATTATACTGCACCCTTTCAAAAGATAATTCTTGTAATAATATATAGTCTTCTCTATCTTGCATTCCATTAAAATATATGCTATTTTGATACAATGGAGCAAAAAAAGTAAAAATGAATCTTTTATGGTTAAGAGCATGTTCTACAAGAAAAAGGTTTAAGTATTTTTCACTTTAGAAGAATTGGAATGCAATACGACGTTTAAAAAATTAAGCATGGTTTAGGTGATGAGGTTTGCAATGACTTGATAAGGGCTGCTTTTTTGCAAGGAATTACTTGGAAACATCTCATTAAACTGAGTACTTCTTCAGTCATTTAAATGCCACATTTATTTTTTTAAAAAAAACCTAAAGGAGGTTATTGAGGGAAAAACAAAACAGGATAGGTAATCCATAATTCACTTCTAAATCCATCTGCATTAAAAATAGCAATGACTGTTATTATCAGCTCTGATAGTGAAATGAGATCTGATTTTAACAGTATTTCTGAATGCTACCTTACTGGGGGTGGGATGTTCTCCCTTTCAGGCCTGTTGTGATCTTTGGAGAGATCTCTGGTAGCTGCTCTAAGAAGAGGGAGGTTGGATTGGATGGATCCTTGATCTAGACACGACTCTCTTTTAACTGTTTGTCTGGCTGTTCTACATACGTTGCTGCAGCCATTTAATGCTGGCTTTACCCTGAAATCACTCATATTTCAAATTCTCAGCTTTCTCTATTCTGTACTTCATTTTTACTGTTCTCATTACATATTTCTTCTTCCTTTTGCTCTTCATGGGATGCATGGGCTTTAAAGACCATGATTTCTTTGGTAAGGCATCATCTCATTTGAGGAACATTTGCAAGGGCTTTGCATTATTTGAGTTTCTTAACATTCAACATTTCTTGTGGTGTCACCTATTTGAGTACGAGATTACATAATATAAAGTGTTCTAAGTTTTTCCATTGTTTTATACTGTTGTTACCAAATGAAATAGAATTTATTTTGTTTTGTCTGCTTGGACTAAAAGTATTTTGCCTGGCTCCTTTGGGTTTCAAAATTGAATTTCATACTGAGATTTACAACCTAAGAGCAAAATACTTTATATCTGAAAACTCTTTTCTGATCAGTGGTTATGATCATAGTGCTCTGATCACAGAATTCTGCTTGTGAAATTCTTTCATTTTAGTGAGGATACAAATCTGTACACATTTCTGTAAGATAGTAGGAAAATTCCACTGAAATTAATGAGCTCTTACTTGTGCAGTAGAATTGTGAGCACCAGAGCACCTGCTGAATATGCTGATCAGTGCAGTTGTTAAAACTTGTAGTTGTTAAAGCACGTTTCTGTCTTTTAATATTTCTTTATTCTCTACGGTTTTTGAAAGGAATGGGACGTGAAGTTGAAAACCTTATTCTGGAAAATACACAACTACTCGAAACCAAGTGAGTAATCATTTCTCGGTTTTTAGATACACTAACCTATTTCTTTAATTAAACATGATGTTGCATGCCCACAAGTTGCTGTCTGATAAAGTATATAATCATTTCCCCTAAGTCTTGTGTGTAACGGCACATGTATACATGCATGGAATTTTGTGAAAGATACATGGTAATTGATGTGGTGTTCCATTGTTGTAGAATGAATAAAATATCCTATAAATACAAGCATTTGTATATAAATATAGAATAGATTTCCAAGTCTTTTATAATTCTACAGCTCTACAAATATTTTATTAATAGAGCCATAGAATTATAAAAGACTTGGAAATATGAACACTGGAGGTGGTTTCATTCTGTTTACTGGCAGTTTCAGGACAATCAAAAGGGATTTTCATTTATTGAAATTCATATCATATTTTAAGATAAGATAAGATAAGATAACCTTTATTGTCATTTTTATACTGTGGGCACAATGGCACACATCAAAAATGAAATTTAGTTGCCCGCTCTCAAAGTGAAACACATACATGACACACACCTAAACATACTATGAACAACATATGTATAGACCCACATCCCTACATATACATAGCAATAAATACTAAATATTGTCCATCTTGAATATATAACAGAAGGAGGACGCTTGAGAGTTTGCAAGGTTAATGCTGTATGGAATGAAACTCTGGCTGAATCTGGATGTTCTGCTTCGGATAGTACCGTATATGCCGGCGTATTAGGCGACCCGGCGTATAAGACGACCCCCGAGTTCGACGCCGGGTCGCAAGACGATCGACGCCGAGTCGCATATAAGACGACTTTCTAGGCATGCGACTCGGTGTCGATCATCTTATACGCCGGAAATAACGTCATTTCCGGCGTATAAGATGATCGACACTGAGTCGCATGCCTAGAAAGTCATCTTATACGCCGGAAATAAACGTAATTTATAACGTTATTTCCGGCGTATAAGATGACTTTCTAGGCATGCGACTTGGTGTCGATCATCTTATACGCCGGAAATGACGTCATTTCCGGCATATAAGATGATCGACACCGAGTCGCATGCCTAGAACGTCATCTTATACGCCGGAAATAATAAATAAATAAATAAACGTTATGACTCGGCGTATAAGACGACCCCCGAGTTCGGAGGCTGTTTCATCGCTCTCAAAAGTCGTCTTATACGCCGGAATATACGGTAATATTTATTGCTGCTGGGTTACTGACTTAAAAATATAATTAGTTAGGCACCAAGAATTGAGCATCCAGTTTTAAGAGTACTCTGATTATCGTATCCTATGTGCAAACAATAAGAGGTGACTTCCTATCACATCTGAAGTTTGTTCTTTTGCAAATATTCAATTTTTGCATGATATTCATGATTATAGTTGACAAAAAACTGGAAATGGAGGTTTTCACCTCAGAACATTAGATTGTACCAGATTTTTGTTAAAAAGACCTTTATGAAGTATATTGGCTTCACTTGGCAAAATAATAGACCATAAAAAAGTAAAATCAAATTTTTATTTTTGCTTATTGTATATTGTATTCATTGTATGCATTGTATGTATTTATTGTAAATGTTGCTGTGATGAAAATAGATCTGTGAGTGACATTATTTCTGTCACTGAATGTTGTTAGAAATGATTTAATTGCAAACATCTGTGTTCTAGAAATGCCTTGAATGTGGTGAAGAATGACTTAATAGCAAAAGTTGATGAACTGACATGTGAAAAGGATGTGCTGAAAGGAGAATTGGAAGCTGTAAAACTAGCCAAACAAAAGCTTGAAGAGAAGAATAAGGAGTTGGAGGAAGAGCTTAGAAAGTGAGCATAAAATTCTTGAATGTGTTACAGTGAGTCTCCTAGAAAAACTCTTGGACTAATTTGATTAATTCCTCTTGTTTAGAGCCCGTGCAGAAGCTGAAGAAGCAAGGCAAAAGGCAAAGGAAGAGGATGATGTACGTATTCATACTAATAACATTGGATCTACATTTTCTCTTATTCTTGCAGTACTATAGTTGGATTGATCCTCCTAGTTTTCTGTGGCATTATTGTACAGAAATATGAGCTTACAGGTTCCTTGTGTATGCCAATCCTGTAACATAGTCTGTTTTGTGGGGGGGTAAAACAGAAATTCTGAAAGATATTCAGTTATCATATTTTCCTTCATTAGGGCCAAAATTGGTCATGAGGCCTTTTCCCCTCATTGTTGTCAATATTCACAGTTACCTGTAAAGTAGTCCTTGATCTACAAATGGTTTAGTGACCATTTGAAGTTACAACCGCACTGAAAAAGAGACTTACGACTGTTTTTCATACTTACAACACTTGGCATGCATTTATGATGGATACAGTGTACCAGGTCATATGATCACTTTTTGCGACCCTCTTGACAAGCAATGGGGAAGTCAGATTCACTTAACAACTGTGGCAAGAAAGGTTGTAAAATGGGGCAAAATTCACTTAACAACTGTCTTGCTTAGCAACAGAAATATGGGGCTCAGTTGTGGTTGTAAGTCAAGAACTCTCTGTACTGTAAAAATTATATATGATTGGCGTTTGTGCTTCCCAGTCCACTTAATTAAGTGTGCTTGCTATCTTTTCAACTCTGCAGAGTGATATTCCTACTGCTCAGAGAAAGCGATTCACACGTGTGGAGATGGCCCGGGTTCTCATGGAACGAAATCAGTACAAAGAAAGGCTAATGGAGCTTCAGGAAGCGGTGCGATGGACTGAGATGATAAGGCAAGTGCAATTTATGGTAACCTGGTGGACAGATTAAACAAGTCATACACATTTTGTTTACTAGGCAGGAGAAAGTGCTTCATTCTTTATTTTAAAAGCAATTGTTTATGTACTGTATTTGTTTTTTTTAAATAAACATTTCACAAAAGGAATCTATTTAAAAAACTTCAGCACTGTTAAAGGTTAACAGAATTATTACAACATATGTTTTTGTGTTGTTTTTATAGATACAACTAGGTTAAGATGAATTTTTGTAGGCGGACAAGATTAATTTTTGTTAAAATGATCCAGGTTTTACAGGTATCGCTCAACATTTGCTTTGTCTAGATTTAAAGTCTGTTCCAAAGACCTTCAGAAATGTGTGTCTTTGTGTGTGCACATCAGTGTGCGCGCATACACTTTAAGTCACTGTTGACTCCTGGCGACTGCCTGGACAGGTTCCTGCAGTTTTCTTCATAAGATTTCAGAAGTAATTTGCCATGACTGCCTTCCTAGAGCTGAGAGACAGAGTGACTGACCCAATGTTACCCAGTTGGATAACCTTGCCTAAGAAGGTTCTCCATGTGTAGAACTCATGGACTCCAGGTTTTCAGCCTGGTGTCTTAAGCATTACACCATACTGGCTTTTGCTTCAGAAATGAGCTATGAAAAATAGCATAGGTTGTAGTACAGAGGGAAAGAAATGGGTTTTATTATTTTATGTATTCTGTTAAGATGGAAGAAGGAAAAAAGAAGAAGTAAGAAAGTTGTTGCAGACGAGCAGAAAAAGTCAAAGCATGAAAAAGAAAAGCAGAGTGGAAAAATAAGGGAAAGAAAAAATGGAATTAACTAACTGGAAAGCTGAGGCGGATGTGGTACTTAGAAGTTTGATTCAGTTTCTGCTGTGGGAGAGGGTTAGTTTCGAACCGGCTGTTACGGTTCTTGAGAGGGATATCACTGGGAAGCAGCATGCCATTCACACAAAATTGGCCTAATGCCAGGTTGCTATTTCTGAATGAAATCTGTTTCAGATTTAAAACTGGCCAAATTGGTATTCTAACTATAGTAAGACAGATGACATGATCACTCTAGTAATAGATTACTGATTACAGCTGTGCTTTTGGTGTAAACTTAACTTGACACGGAGGCAATTAAATAGTAGAATCTAAACCTCTCCAGGTCCTGTTGTACATTTAGCTGACTTTGGCCTTGTTACATAGTGCTGAATATGCATTAAAATTTTCAGAGTATAGATCAGGGGTCTTCAAACTTGGCCCTTTTATGACTTGTGGACTTCAACTCCCAGAATTCCTCAGCCAGGCCTGCTGGCTGAGGAATTCTGGGAGTTGAAGTCCACAAGTCATAAAAGGGCCAAGTTTGAAGACCCCTGGTATAAATCATTTACTGCTGGCAGTGTGTGTGTATGCATATATGCAATTTATAGGCCTTCAGAGTAATTTAGGAAAACACATGATAAACAACTCAGAGAGGTAGTGGTTCCTCTTCATTGAATGTGCTCGAGTGGCTATGCAGATATCTGTCTATGAGGCCTTAATTTAAACTCCTGAGCAAGGCATGGATTTGGTGACCTAAATGTCCTTCCATTTCCATGTTTCTATGATAAATATATGGGTTAAACATCTGTCCCACTTACCGAATATATAAGACCATCCACCATCTCTATTTGGCTTTTCTCAGCTCCTTTCTGAGTATGTATTTTTTAAAAAAGTGGCACCCAGTTTTGTGTGTGTGTGCCTTCGAGTCAGTGTTGATTCTTGGTGACTGCCTGTATAAATCCTTGCAGTTTTCTTGATAAGATTTTAGAAGTGGTTTGCCCTTGCCTGCTTCTTCGGGTTGAGAGGGAGTGACGGGCCCAAGGTCACTGAGCCAACTTTGTGCCTAAGGCAGGACTAGAACTCATGATCTCCAAGTTTGTAGCCTGATGCCTTAACCCCTACACCAAATTGGCTTTCTCCAATTAGTTTGAGCTAATTTTTTTAAAACTTCTATTTAAGATAAACTACATTCACCATCCCTATTTTGTTACCATCTAGTTGCCTGATAATCTACTGGTTGTTTTCAACTTAGTTTTTACAGAAAACAAAACAATTCATTTTTAGGATTAGATTGAATTATTTTGCATGAGAAAAATCTTCAGTTACATACTGGAGCAACACAAATTCATTTTGCTCTCATGTAGTAAGTATATTTTCAACCTGTACAGGTGATTGCTTGTTATTATTGTGAATTAGTTATTGTATTGAATGATTGCAATTACTTTTATTTTCATAGGAGATACAATTGAATTTAAGAGGGGATACAATAGTGCACAAAAGCTGATTTCTTAAATGTCATATCCTCATGTACAGCTGTGGTGTTTTTTTTTTAGTGTAAATCTCAAATTCTGTTTCAGAATTTGGAAAATCATTAATGTGGATTTACTTATAAAATGCCAACATGTCTCCAACTGTATGAAATCCTCAGACGTTAGAGATGTTATAATCTGGGCTTTTTATTTTTTCTTTAGGGCATCAAGAGAAAATCCAGCTATGCAAGAGAAGAAGAGATCGAGTCTTTGGCAGTTGTAAGTATTGAGATACAAATACTTGTATTTATTAAAAATAATAGTATTACTCTTTTAGGGACTTTTAATTAGTAATGACTATCCATTATTTTCTTTTATTGTCTAGTATGCCAGACAGGTAAGATGTTAAAGCTGAATTATATTGTAAGATGCATCCTGAAAGATTTATTGTGCACTTAGCAGAGAAACATAATTGTCTTTCTCTAATTGTGGCAGTTTAAAACCATATTGTTTGTATGCTTACTGATTTCAGTTCATCAAATATGTTTGAGGGGAGTTCAAATTTTTGCTTTTTGCTCTGTTTAATACTAAAGCTATAATTACTAAAATTGTACATGAGAGGTTGCATGACTGTCCTGTGTCCTCCGAATTTTTATTTTATTTTTGTGAGGAATAAGTTAGGATTATTTGGTTAATGAAAATGTTACGAGCTGGCAAAATTGCAGGGCTCAGCTGCTAAAGATTCAGAATCCTGCAGGTTTGTGTCTTTATAATACTTTTATTGCTGCTCACGTTATCTGTTCTTACCTTCTGCTGTGGTATTGGACTGATATACAGAGATTGTAAATCCCTACGACCAAGACTAATTTATGAACATGATAATCCAGTATGTTTGGATATATACCCACAGATTTTAGTTTAACTGGACATATTTTGATAGTCTGGGTTATTAAAAAAAGAGATGAAAATAATATTTATTTAAAAAGTAGGGGAAAGAAACAAGAGGAAATGGTGGAAGGGAAGCAATCTTCAATAGGAACCTAAAAGATGTAACAGTGGACAGGTGATAAATTTTATAGGTTGAGTGTATTCTGAAGTGCATTTGCCACCCAGAGGAAGCTCTTCTGTGAAGAACTGCAAGTCAGCACTCTGCCACCCTTGGGATACAGAGCTGGTCTTCTCCCCTTGTTATCTTAGTGATCAACCAGGACTATCATACTAGCAAGTGGTCTACGATATGGCTTGTTTCTCCAGTTTCTAAATCATATTCATGCTAATAGTTTTATTGCTAGAAATGTGCTGTATACATATAAGGAAACTAAAAAAACCCTTTACGGTAGTCCTGGCTGAGACTGCTGAAGTTGGGACAAGCCCACTAGAAGCCTGGTGACTGGGAAGGCGTCTACAGCAGCCAAAGGGCAGAGATTCAAGGTAGGGGGAGATAGGTGGGAAGGGTTAAAGCTGAAGCAATCTGCTTGGGGCAAGAGAACATGACTACGGGACTGTGGCGACTGATAAATGAAGGCCAGTTGCCAAGCAGCCAAATTTTGATCACATGACTACAGGGACCTTGCAGTAATTATAAGTTCAAGGACCCGTTATAAGTCATTTTTTAGACTGCTGTCAGATCTTCAAATGGTCACTGAACAAATGGTCATAATCTGAGTACTACCTTAATTATCAGGGACCAGAGTTTTGTAATATTTGACATGTGACATCATCTTAGAGAGAACCATTCCTTCTCTTAGAACCACAGTTTTAGACATTTGGCTAGCCTTTAGCTACCCTTGAAACATTTTTGACTTGAAAGCATATGGGTTAATTCTGATGAGCTTTATAGCTATCTTCTAATGGTGTGGCTGTATTGAGCAGTGAATGGCTCTTCTTTTCTGCCCTGCTTTGTGTGAGGCACTGTGTTCAATGCGCATGTACATGTCAAACTCTGATGATCAAGGGGCTATATGTGCTTACGTATCCAAGTGCTTTTGCTTTTTTCCCTTCCAGTTTTAGCAGATTATTCAGTTCATCGGGCAACACTACCAAGAAACCAGAACCACCAGTTAATGTTAAGTACAACGCACCAACCTCACACATTACTCCTTCAGTCAAGAAAAGAAGCAGCACCTTATCTCAGCTCCCAAGTGACAAATCAAAAGCTTTTGATTTCCTCAGTGAAGAGTAAGTTATGTTTTCTTTACAGAGTAAAAATATGCATAGACAGAACTTACCAACTATATAAATGACCATGGTCAATATATTTCTGAAGATTTGGCTTTGCACTCTGGGAATGCCTGGACTCATATCTGTACTGAATGCAGAGATGGTATCAATGGTTCTATCCAGCTTGATCTTGCACTAGTTGTGTGTCTACCTGAGGTCAAACCTAGATGTGGTGATATATGTCTTATTACCTCTAGACTGGATTATTGCAATTCATGCTACATCTTGAAACTGCACCTGGTCCAGAATATAACACTGAAAAGGCTGGTGGGTCTTCTCTTAAAGGACTATAGTCCTTTAACTCCCCTAAAGGCTATAATTCAAAACAGTGGTGATGGTGGCTTTTCAAAACATGAACTCAAGATGAGGTACCCTTAAAGAACAATTTTTTCCAGACTAGTCTGCAATCTATTATCAGATGGAAAGAGACTTTTCTTTAAGTTTCAGTTGGCAGAAAGCATCTTCTTTGTAGTCATGTAAAACAATAGAATTGTTGGAAAACTAGCTTGATAATTTCTAGGAATTCTGTTGTAAAGTCACATTTATATAAGGCCTTTTATTTGTTTTTTTATTGTGTGTGATTATATATATGCGGCACTTGCCACCAATACTTCTATTGATAGACGTATTTTGTACAGTAAATGGGAAAGTGCAATATGGACATTAAATAACTCAGCCTTTATAAGAACAATGTTATTTGTGTTTGCATGAATATGGCAGATACTTGTAGGTGTAATTTATGGTGGAGAGGGACATGGCTCCTCCTCCTCCATCACATTCCTTTGTTGAAACATTTGTAGAAACAAGTTAAGCCTTTCTTTAATTTTCAAAAACTGCTCAGTAGTTCTCTGCAAATTTGAAATTTGTTAAGTTGCTTTCTTCCTCCCAACTTTCTTACTTAATGGAATCTCAGTGATTCCATTGGCGCACACAGAAAGTTTTTAAGAGACCATCCACATATTCTGGGGGTAAGTCGGGCAGGGCAGATCATGCACAATACCTTGAAAAAAAGAGTAGAGAGCTCATGGACATACAGAAGAATATTGGGAAAATATGTTTCTGGAAACCTGTCTATGATTCTATACTAATTAAAGCTTTTATATAGTGTTGAAATATGGCTTCAATAATTTAAGCTTTAGGTCAGAGATAGATATTTTTTTTCAGGCCTGGTATGCTACTCAAATGATGTGCTGCAAGCTGCTCTCAAAAATGTAGGCTAGGTGACATAGCAAAGAAACAAATGGCACTAGGACCAAATTTTAATCTGGGGTTCAAATTAAATGTAATATGAGTTAAAATAAATGAATGGCCCCAAGACCAAATTTTAATCTGGGACTCAAATGTAATATGAGTTAAAATAAATGAATGGCCCCAAGACCAAATTTTAATCTGGGACTCAGATTAAATGTAATATTAGTTAAAATTAATTTAATGCAGTTAATACTATTTAAAGTTTTCCCTTTCTATCATATAACATGTAACAGTTGGTAGAAACTTTTGGAAATGTAATCTTGGGGACTAGGCATGGTACAACTCTTCTTTAAGGAACAGAAATCTAAATCGGTGTTGACAAGTTCTCATCAGCTCAAGTTTAAATTCTTAGAAGTTGCCAAGGGACATGCTGGCAATCTTCAGCTTCCAGTCATACTGTGGATGTCACAACACTTTGAGGCCCATAAATATGAGACAAAACAGAAGAGGGGCAATCCTACTAAGGATGGGAACACCGGTCTTCCACGTTAGAGCATTACCCATAATAGTTAACGTACCATGTGAGAAAAATCCTTTTTGCATGTATTTCATAGCAATTTAGATATCTAGAAAGATCTTCATATTAAAATGCAACTTTATAAAATAAATTAGGAGCATGAAACTTTCTGTAAGTTTCATGCAGATCAGTTGAGGGTACTTTATTCACATAAAAAAATTCAGCCTGCAACCATGCAAATTAATTTTGTAGCTTTAAAAGCTTGGAAAAATGCTGTTCCTGCTTCAGAAATGAACTTTTACTGACAATGCAACAGTAATATGTTGTATAGGTTAGCAAAAGTTGGTTTAATATTCAGTGAAAGTAATTTTTTCTAAAGCAACTTCTGCTACTCTGTGATTCTTCTATATAATAAGAAAATGCAATCTCTTTCTGTATTATTTAACTATTATACACTACTTACCCAAATAAAAGTCTTAATTTTTTCTCAAGTGATTTATTGTAAAATGGGGATATTTTAGATTCATTGATAATACAATAATGGAGACAAATTATTATTATTTTCTTTTTTATAATCTGTTTAAGGGGAGGATCATCTTAAATTCAAGAGTACTTTTTTGGGTCAATATAGTAACTTTAAAGAACACCTGTTTATGCATTCACTTAATCCGGATATCTCAAATATTTTTAACAATATGGAAGGAAATAGAATGATTTGTTGTTGTTTTTTTAAAAAATGTTTCCTGTGGTCTAGGTCTGAGGCCAGTATGGCCTCACGAAGAGAGCAAAAAAGAGAACAGTATCGCCAAGTGAAAGCCCACGTTCAGAAAGAAGATGGCCGAGTGCAGGCTTTTGGCTGGAGTCTTCCTCAGAAATATAAACAGGTATTATGTTAGATATTAACCACCTGGCAAAGGAAAGGTAATACCCAACTTTGTGTATTACCTGTTCTTTATTGTTTAGGCATTATTGTTCCATGGGAATGTGATCACTGAAAGTATTTCTACTTACAAATCAAAGATGGGAAAATACAGTATTAGGGCTGCATGTTATGTCACGATGCAGACACACCCATTAAGTGAAAATCAAGCTATGAATTGAAACACAGGGTTATATAAAACTAATAGCCATGAAAAATTAACAGCCAGTTTGAAAGGGTGATGGTGGTTTTTAAGTATGGGTGAAAATGAAGAAGAAAGTAAGTTGCAAGAGACAGGTTTGGCTAGGAATATTTACCACTTTCCTCCTACTTCTGGTACTGTACTAGGGCTGAAAGGGCCTTTTAAGCATCTTGCCTCCTGCAGCAAGGAAAATCTTGGGAAGGTTTCTTTTGCAAGCTGCAGTGTACCACACAGGACATAAATGGGAAAACAGTGCTACTCTACTGCTAAATGGTTAGCTAAGAACTAAAGATTTTATTTTACTAAAATGCATAAGAGTGTAGGATAGTGGTGTAATAATCTTGTGCATTTCTTACATGAAATCCCCAAATATTTTAATGAAGAGGGTTAGGCTTTTAGAGCTTTTGTATGAAAAGGCAACATTTCTACTTAAGCATAATGCTGTTGGGAACAAAATCAATAAAAGGTTATTAAACTGTAAGAAGAGTATTTCATATATCTTGAGAGCTGCAGATCTCTCTCTCATTCTCTCTGTCCGTTAAGCTATTTTTAGAGAGGGATGTTAAAGACTTTGTTAAATAATAGAACTGTACCACTCTGGATAGAAACATATCTACCCCTCAGACTTTTTATTTTAAAATAAAAGTATCAGTTAACTTTCATATGCCTAAGAGTTTAATATTTTTATTGTATTGGGTCAAATCCATCAACATTTGGGTGTGATTGTAAATATCTATCTATAGGTTGCCAAGTATGCCTTAATGTAAAATAAAGAAAATGTGTGACATTGGGAGACATGCAATAGAGTAGTATCCTCTGTCATTTATCTAGACCTTAATATTAAACTTGGCTACAAATCGTATTTTTGTTTTTCTGTTTTCTTATAGACAGATTTCTGCTTCTTCAATTTATTTTTTCTCACTCTGCTTCAACTTGCTGCTACTTGGCGTAGTTAGGATCTTCTCAATTTTAAATCTTTGTGCTCTTTGGTTTAAAATGTTACTAAGTTTACAAACAAAAAATAGTTTAACAACAAGCCTAATCTTTTCAAACCGAGAAAACAAATGGAACCTATTCTAATTGTTATAAAGAAATGACAAACTAATCCATGCTGAGACAAATCAAGTAGAAGCTAAAAGTTCGTTGTGCATACTGTCATGGGAAAAATGCCCCATTAATTGTCTATTGAAGACATGTCATCACAAGATAGCACTCATCTCGTCTGGCCTGCCTGCCTGCCTGCCCACCTGCCTAAAAGAATTGTTTCTTTTTACTGCAATGCAGGATAACCTAGGGGCTGTTATTCTAAGGAGTCCTCAGAAGTCAGTGATCTGTTCGGCTGCAATTATCTGGCAGGTCTTATGTGAAGGTCACTATTCTCTGCAACATTTTGGCCATGGGGATCTTCTTGGTTCATATCCAACAGTCTTCTGGGATACTTCTGAATAACTGTAGAAATCTTTCCCTGCTGCCACTTAGTAACTGTAGCACTTCTGTAGCAAAGTGGAATGAGTAGCTGTACCGTAGAGATTCTGACCGCTGATCTATTTCAAAGTAGCTCTGTAGCTTGCCTCCCTTGCAGCCCTTTCTTCTATCCAAGGAGTAATCGTTATGTGGGACCAGGGAACTGAGAGCATATGACCTATGGATCCTGTGCTGCCAGTTGCTTGGCGTTGAAGGAAATATTTCCCACTGACTTCTGTCCTTCTCTCTAGGTCAGGGGTAGGCAACCTCGGCTCTTTTATGACTCATGGACTTCAACAGCTATGCTGACTCAGGAATTGTGGGAGTTGAAGTCCATGAGTCATAAAAGAGCCGAGGTTGCCTACCCCTGCTCTAGGTTATCAGTGTAGTCAGAACACCCATTTTTCTTTATTGCCAGGCAGATTAGATATTCGAAGTGCAATTACTACTTTTAAAGCTATCATCTTTTTCTCCCAACTCCTGCATTGAGTAATAGCACTTTAGTGCTCTCATGTGAAAGAATGCTAACTCTGTCAACCTGTGATAGATATTATAGAAATGTGAAAGAAGGTCAAAATAAATATCTCAGAGGTGAATGTGGGCATAGTGCGCTTAGTCTGATGCTCGCTCCCATGTTGATTATCATTTCTTTTGCCTTGTTTGGAATTTGTGTTGCTTCAGAGATGACAGGATTAGGATATTGATTCCTGTTATAATTATTGCCATTGTAATTTCAGCATCACCATTCTGTACTTCCTCCACAAAGGGGAAATCTTGACAAGAGACCTTTGATTGCTGTTAAAAATCTAATTAGGGATGTTACTGTAGAATTGGGTGTAGTTTGATGCTTTGGAAAATAACTTGATTTAACTTGGATGAAATCAAGGCCTATATGATTTAGCTTTGGAAAATAACTTGATTTAACTTGGATGAAATCAAGGCCTATTTAGCTTGGGTCCCATATGTGAAACAAAGTTTATCTTTCAAATTGAGTAGAATGAAAAAAAAAATAGTTGGGATGGATTATTTAGAAACACTGAGCAGTGACTTTTCTGTCCACCAAAATATATACCTAATTAGAAAGAATTAGGCAGAGAGGTTTGGGAGCTGAAGTTCTTTATGTTCTAATTTACAAGCTAAAAGCTAAAATGCCCATAACCTTTTATATTTGTGAGAATGGATAAACATTTCTCACAAATAAATTTGAATGTCTTTGGAAGTCTCATTTGAATCGTGCAGGTGCGTTAGTTTTGTCTGATTCAGTTTATTGAGAGACTAACATCTCTGCTATAGTAGTTAAGCCACATTGTTTCTGTGGGCAGTTTTCCACAGGCATAGCTTCATTCTCTATTACAGTAGCTTCTTGCACTAGAATGCGTATGGACAAAACGTAAATCTCATTACAGCCTAGCAAATCACAAGACTTATATATTTCCCTCAAAGGATGCAACAGAAATCAAAGAGGCCTATATATACTTTGAACACTTCTGATGCTCAGAGCTAATGAATGACTGTAATTTTAGAAGATTCCTGTCAGAGATTTTTTACAATGGGGGAAATAGACTCATGAATCATCTGGCACTTACGGCCTGCTGAGATTCAAAATACTTGTGCCTAGCTATTTGGCATTTGAAAGGCATATCCTCATAATATTAGAATATGCTAAATGTATTAAAGAAGTTATTGGAAATGCTTCCTTAGAATTCAGCAAGCACAGACTAATTCCTAGATGGCCCTCAAAGATTTCCTTTAGCTTAAATATGCTGTCCTTAATCTAGGCTTGAAGCCCATGAGTATTATGTATATGGTTACGCTATAATTCAGATTAAAAACCACAACTACCTATACCTGAAGACTTTTCTAAAACGAGTCATTAATCTACCCTATATTACATGCTTCCTTTGGGGATTTACAAATTGTCATCCCTTGTGGCCTTATCCAAGCCTCCATTTGTCCAACTAAGGACCAAGGACGATAAGGGCTTCTTCTGGAAGTTATATCGGGCAGAAAGACACTTGAAAGTATTAGAGTGGTAGGGTAGAATAGCAGTTTGTATCATCACTATGGGATGATTCATGAAATATATTTGTGGATTATATATCAAGTATTTTCAATAAATGCTACAGCTTGGTCACCTTGCCTCAGTGTGAAGGCCTTTGGAAAAAGAGTGTTGCAAGTCTTCTTTCATTTACCAAGACCCATTTATGCTTATCACTCTTCAGAATGCCTATCCACAATGAACAAAGAGTGGGATTGGTCACTGAGTTGTTTCTGCTTTTGTGAGATGGAAGCTTCCAAACTTCAGCTAATTGGTCAGGACCAGACTTTCATATTTGTAGCAGAATACTCTTCCTGTGTTGATCGCCTCTTCGTTGTGTTTCAAGTGTCTGATAGGATGAAATGCAGTCACAGAATTCCTGTCTTCCTGGATGAAAAAAAGAATTAACTCACTGTTGGCTTGCACCCTCATATCGAAATAAGTGTTACCTTTTCTTTCATTCTTTAGATTATGAATGGTGGTGCTCAGGGTGACAGCAGGATGAGGAATTTGCCTGTGCCTGTTTACCTGAGACCACTTGATGAAAAGGATACCTCCATGAAGGTAGATGAGTTTTTGTTTTCTTTGTCTCCTCTCATATACTACAAACAAATGCCAAAATGACTGTTGGGTACCTTGTGAGGGATGAGCTGATTTGTTATGTGTCAGGTGGGCATGGAAGCCCATTAAACGTGTGCATGATCTGAGTTGGGGGGATTGAGAGAGCAGACTGAAACATCATGACTGTAGTGGACAGAAATAAGTACGGCAGGCAATCTCCTATCAAATCAGTGTTATATTTTCCTTTATTCCTTATAGTATAAATGATGGTGATGATGGGAGGATGTAGTTAGAGATATTGGATGTGTTGTTTGTAAGTTGTCCCACTTGTCTGGCCCTTGTTTCTACCCTCAATGCCTGGTTATTGGATCCACGATGGCCCTGGATTCTAGTGATTGTTTCTAAATGCCAGGTTGGCTTGTAGTCAAGATACATGATTCATGATCTTATGATGGATGAAGGTACCAACTTGTAGGAATCTCTGATTATTAAATTCAGGTACAGGCTATACTTAAAGCATTGTTAGCATTTCATAAAGCTTAATTTGATAAAATGTTTTATCAAGCTCTCTTGTCATTAAAGCTATGGTGTGCTGTAGGAGCGAACCTATCTGGAGGGAAAACACGGGATGGTGGTTCAGTAGTTGGCGCCAGTGTCTTCTACAATGATATTGCAGCTACAGACATGGACAACGGCAAACCGAGAAGTGCATCTCAAAATAGCTTGGACAGATTGGATCAAGAACTCAAGGTAAGGCTAGAAGTAGATTCAGAATGCAAATAGCTTCTGCTTTGTGTTTGTAGCTGAAAATACCTTTAATTCATAGTCCTGAATTTGAAGTGTGTGTGTGTCTGTGTGTAGGAGAAGAGCAGGCAGAGCTGGGGGGCAGAGTTAAGTCCATCATCAGTTTGTGCATTCCCACAAGCACTCCCAAGTCCAACCCCTCCTGAATTCCGTTGACCCTTATATGGCACTAATTTAATGTTGAACTTTAGTTGACCAGATTCTTGATATAGGCTTGAATAAATCTTCTATGCTACAACCTTGCGAATGGTCCTGATTCTTTGCACCTGGTAGTTTGCTTTACATAGTAGGAAAGTGAATCGTTATTTCAAAAAGGCCTGCCAGAACAGAAGTTAAAGAGTAGGTACATTTTTTTCCTCCCCCTATTTTTTTCCTTTAATGACAAACGAAAACATATTGCCTTCCGTTGGATTTATTGGGAGGGAAATAATCAAAGCCATCACTTTGGTTAGTGTGAATTACAGTGGGAGGCATATTTCGGGATCACTCTCTTTAACCCCCTCTCCTGTCATTGAAGTTCTTATATGGGGAAAACTGAATTTGGGTCTTTCTGTTAACTAGGAAATTTCTCCCTGTCAAATCTTCCTCTTTGAAAACTGGTCAGGGACTGCAGAATCTATTCACGCTTCAAGGCTTTTGCTCATTTCTGGGTAACTAAGGAGTACTCCACATTCTCTGTAACCAAACACATTCAGCAACCACTTGATAAATTTCAAAAGGGGACTAATAATCTACTGTGGCATTTGCATCTCCATTCCTTATTTGCAAGGTGCTGCAAACGCTTCCTGCTTTCTATGCTAAGGAATTATAGGTAGTCCTTGGCTTACAACCATTCATTTACCGATCATTCAAAACACACTGAGAGAGAAAAAAATCGACCCTCTGTCTTATGCTTGTCACAGCATCCCCATGGATACGTGATCAAAATTTGGGCACTTGGTAACCGGCATGCATTTAATATGATTGCAGGGTCTCAGGGTCATTCTCTCATTAGGAATATGCAGCTACTCAAAATGGAAAGGAAAAAAGTGGCTCAGAGGGGAAGTAAGTGCACTCAGGCACTCAGTGTCACTGCATTAAAGAAGTTGTACTTTTTCCTGGGCTCACAGAGCAGGGGTGTAGTCCAGGGATAGGCAACCTTGGCTCTTTTATGACTTGTGGACTTCATGGCTGGCTCAGGAATTCTGGGAGTTGAAGTCCACGAGTCATAAAAGAGCCAAGATTGCCTACCCCTGGTGTAGTCTCAGGAAGAATACATATGTGAGGCAAGGATTATGGAAGTAGCAACAGAGTACAGTCACATTATTATTTATTTAAATTTATTGAATATCCAACTCCAGTTATTGCATCTTATTGATTCCTCCTTAATTCAAAGGCATATTTCAAATATGTATCTGGCAACTGGGTGTTACTGCCCTCTTGCCATAAAGCAGAAATTGTTATTGCTCACTTTAAAACGCATCCTGCGTGACACAATTGTAGGTTTATATTGGTTGGTCTTGTTTTTTTCTTTCTTTCTATACAGGACCAGCAAAAAGAGCTGAGAAATCAAGAAGAACTGTCAAGCCTTGTTTGGATCTGTACGAGTACCCATTCTGCTACGAAAGTTATCATTGTAGATGCTAACCAGCCAGGAAACATCCTAGACAGTTTCATTGTTTGCAATTCGCATGTACTATGTATAGCTAGTGTGCCAGGTAAGAGACACAGCATAACAACTGTTTTAAATTAATAGGGATTCTTTTACCCTTGTTTTGATAAAACTGGATAAGCCTGGCTTTGGTCAAATTGAGCTAAAGAGTTGAGTCATTCTCAGAACTTTTGCAAATTAGCTATTAATCTTTCTCTTGGATAGTTTTGACTGTTAGAAGTGCCTACCTAATATATAACTGACTTGGTAAATTGCAAAAATCTTAGGTGGCCAAATTCTGTTAAGGAAGCCAACCGTTTCTCTTCTGGCTCAGGAAAAATAAATGAAATCTATTTTAAACACAAAATTTATTCCAAATACTTGAGACATGACTTCTGTAAAACCAGCAAGTTATTTCTAAGAACCAATACATGTATTTTGGTACTTCATTTATTAATTATGCTACTTTATTATGTGGGTGGAGTTTAATGCTGAGATAGGAGCACATATACATAGTTGACTTTTGTGTTGGGAATAGGAGTAAAATTGTAAGCAGTCCGTATAAATTGTGGAATTACAAGCAGTGGCCTTTCAAAATCTATTTAAAATATTTCAATTTTCTAAAACTTAAAATGGCTTTGAAGTAGCTGCATCAATCAGAGTAGTTGATTTGTGATCTATTCACATTGGTGAAATGATGTAAAGTATGCAGTTTTTAAATTAATAATTAATTAAATAATAAAAAGGCAGAAGTGTAGGCAGGAGAGGCATGTATGGGTCCTGTCTAAGAGAGTGTCATCTGGTGGGACCCTGAAGACACTCCAGAGATGATGGTTATGTAATGTATAATTTGGGTGTGTGCTTACGGCTTTTTAGTTTCATCCTTGTTGCTGATTATGTATTTGTATATGGAAGATATGGTCAACCAGTTAACCAGATGTTAAGATTGGATTTGGCATTTTGCCCATCTATTGAGTCTTTCTCAAGGATCCAGGATAGACAGAGGTGAATGTTTAATGGTGTTACAGATATCATTTACTGTTCCAAGTAAAGTTGTCTCATCCTACCTGCTGGTTATGTATTTATTGTTATTTGATTGTATTTTTTAAATTGTTAGCTGGCCACAATGATGGGATGAGTGGGCATATAAAATTGAAATAAATAAATGTCATTATAAAGCAGTGGTTCTCAACCTGTGGGTCGGGACCCCATTTGGGGTCGAACGACCATTTCACGGGGGTCACCAAACCACGCTGTCCGCTATTTTTTTTCCTTTTCCCTAGCTGTCCTACTCCCTCTTATTGGTGGCCACACCCACTTGGGGGTCACCACAACATGGGGAACTGTATTATGGGGTCACGGCATTAGAAAGGTTGAGAACCACTGCTATAAAGCCAAGAATATATGGAATCTTGCGAATGTAAACTGTGTCAGACTCAGAACAGTTTCTGAATATGTAGGATTGTGTCTTTATTTAATTTATTATTAATAATATTATTTGCACAGCATCTGTCTTACAGAAAAGGCCTTGGACATGGCTAGCCTATGAGGTTGTGCTCAGATTGAAGGATGAGCACAGGTAGATGAATCCCTAAAATTGTGGATGTTGTTATTAGATACTAGACTAGCTTTGGTCAAATAAATATGGGGAAATTGTTGGATTTACTCCAGGGGTTTATTTCTGTGTCTCATTGGTAGAATCTGTTCCTGTTAAATAACTGTTTTAACCTAAGTTAGATTACAGATAACAATTTATCACTAAAATCCTGTTAGAAGAAAATGTCATTGCCCTAGTTGAGCAGTGGATAGATGTTTGATTGGATTTAACTTGAGCTATAGGTGACAAGAATCAGTTTTTTCTTTTTTTCGGGCCCCATAGTAGATTATTCTTGGATCTCATTATCTTCCTATTCTGTTTTTCACAATTTTGTGAAATATCCAACGTAAACTTTTTTGTTTTGAATCTGAAAGGGCTTATTGATTGGAGACTTGCAATTAAGATTTCATGTGCAGCAGACCATGAAAACTCATGCCATAATAAATGTACTTTCCTTTTAATTGTACCACAAAATACTTTGCTTTTATGGTTTATTCCTATGTGATCTTCCTATACAGAAGTGTAGTTTGAGTAAGCTTTATGTGAGATTGGAGAGGATCCTTGTGTTTTCTCTTTTACTCTATTTTAAGGTGGATAGCAATCTTGTATATTTTTACAGCTTAAATGAGATGCTTTGTACATTTTATATTAGAAAATTAAGTATTATTTTTTCTTAATGTCCAGGTCTCCTTTTGAGTATTTCTCTGATTTTGATAAATTTTGTTTAGTAGTTCACATAATAAAACTTGTAGAGATTTGCATAGAAAATTCTACGTGAGGTGTCCTTTGTGCTCTCCAAGGTTGGTGGTTTTCTTGCAGATGTTTCATTATCCAAACTAGGTAATGTCATCAGTGCTAGTCTGCAAGAAAACAACCAAGCTCAAGAGAGCACCAAGAACCTCTCATTTCTACTCCGAATTATAAATATTTTCCTTTATAGAATTCTAGGTGTTCTCTGAGCTTGTCTGCAATGTTTCATTACCTGAGTAGGTAGCCTAAACAGTGCTAATGAGTGTGGGGTTTGCTCCTTGTTTATATAGCTTACCAGTGTTAGTTGGGGTGTGGTTTTTTTCTCTTTGGTAATTTTCTTGATTAGGGTATTGTTTTCTGTTTGATTCTTTGTCTGTTTCTCTGGTGTTGGCTGCTAGATAGGATGTGTTACAGTCTTGTTTGTTTCTTAGCTTTGTTCTTTCTTTTGGATGGTATGTAAATATGGTTTATCTCTCAGCACCTAGGACTCCCTGTTTTTGCATTCACTTAATCCGGATATCTCAAATATTTTTAACAGTATGGAAGGAAATAGAATGAGCTACATGTATTCCCTTCTGTTGGAAGATAATGATAATCAAGCTGACAAATGTAACATTTTCTTTCAGGGGCTCGAGAGACTGACTACCCTACAGGAGAAGAAGGATCACAGGAACCAGACTCTGGTGTGGTGGATAAGTCATCCATTTGTGGCAGCATAAATAGCAATAGTTCAGCAGAAGCAGACTGTTTGTTAGGAGGAATCACAGTCGTTGGATGTACAGCCGAAGGCATTACAAGTTCTGCTGCTACCCACAGTGCCAGTACTGTTTCACCTGAGATAAACAAACCGCCAGGTATAAAAATCCTTGACATTCTGTGAAAAAGAAGCTAGCTCTCCTTTGTTGGGTTAAGCCCCTACCAACTTGTAGGTATATTGATGTAGGGTCTCAGCAACAATATGGAAGTGGTTGCCATAGTCCAGGATTTTAGTTTTGATTTTCCAATCAAACTGACAATGCTGCTAGTCAAGTAGGAGGTCTCTTCCTTCTCAGCTTCTAAAATGTAGCTTAGTGCAACTAAGGAAACAAATACATTATTATTTAGCATTATATTCATTCCACAAGATAATTTTATTTCTAACTTTCGCTGGGATTTCTAGCTGAAGGGGGAAATATTTTTTAGAAAATGCAGAAAAAGATACTCTTATATAATATACTAAGATGCGTTTACATAAATATTACAACACATTAATCATACGAACCAGTTGCATTTTAGTTAACAAGCAGAAATTGGGATGGAGAGGACAGTGTCACTTCCATATATTCTCTTTACTTACCATTATATTAAATATAAATCTGATATATAGTCCTCAACTTACGACCACAATTGAACCCATAGTTTCTTTTGCTAAGTGAAACATTTGTTATGTGAGTTTTGCCCCATTTTACAATCCTTCTTGTCACAGGTGTTAAGTGAACCACTGCAGTTGTTAAGTTAGTAACATGGTTGTTAAGTGAATCTGGCTTCCCCATTGACTTTGCTTGTCAGAAGGTCACAAAAGGGGATCACTTGACCCGGGGACATAAATATGAGCCTTTTGTCAAGCGTCTGAATTTTGAACATGTGACTGTGAGGATGCTGCAATGGTTATAAGTCTGAAAAATAGTCATAAGTCACTTTTTTTCAGTGCTCCCTAAATGAACTGTTGTAGGTCAAAGACTACTTGTATACTGATGCTGACATAAGCATTTATTTTTTTATGTGCGTAAGCCTTAGGCTTGGTATTCCTGCAACAGTAAAAAGACAAACCAAAACTTCCATTCCTATTTTCAGTTAACCTTAGCCTGGTTTTATATTGGAAGCTGTAGATAGGAAGTTCTGTATTTCAGAAATTATGCTAACTTCAGTGAATGTGGGGAAAGCAGTTCAACTTTGTGGGTGGGATAAAAACATTTCTCCGGGCTTCTTTTAATATTTCAAGAAGTGTGTGACTGAATAGGAGTTGAGTTTTATTGCACAGCCCAAAGCTGCCATTAACGTAATAATTATTTTAAGAAAAAAAGCCTGATTCCCTAAATAATAGTTTAGGATTGTCTTATTTCCCAAAATAATTGTTTTAAATTTAAAGACATCAAGAATCAGTTGTTAGTTTTAACAATTTCTTGTTTCCTTGTGGTTGGGTGGAGAAAGGAAAGATGGGGATGACAGTGTGCATAAAATACTTTCACAAAATGCTAATCATATTAAGCATTGCCTTCCAAAAAGCCCTTTGTACTGAGGTAGTAGCTTGCCCTTTGTTTCTGGCTGAATTATGTTAGGGCTAATTATCACTGTCTTTTGGTGTGGTTCAGCTTGGAAGGAAAACTAGATTCTATTAATAAATAGCTGACTTAAATATTTGCTTGAATAGAATAGGGTGTATAAATCAAATTCAAAAAAATAAAGGCAGTGACCAGTGAACTGGAAAATTAAAATAGGTTGCATATATTAATGAAGTAATTCTATGTTCACTGTTTGGTTCATGAAGGAGGCTACTTTCAATTGTCTAAATGTATAATAACCTCTTAAAGTAGATAGTGTCATGTTTTTAATCCATTTCAGTGTATGTGTGCAATATGTTATTTTGAGGGCAAGGATGGAGAATGTATACACTGATGTTATATAGCAAGTAGATATGATGGGTGAATTCCTCACTTATCTCCTCACTATCATGCTTCCTGTATCTTAAGTACAGCTTTTTAGTGGAGAAAGCAGAAGGGAATATTTGAAGAAGCTGAAGAGGAATTACTAATTAATATACTTAAAGCCACGCATGCTTCATAACAGCAGGGAGCTGTATGATCATTCAAGTTCACCTATAATTGAAAAATTTACTCAGATATTGCAGCTGAAAATGATGCAGTAGATGAGCATATTCAGACAGCAGAGGAAGCAACTGAAGCGACAGAAGTCAGTGCTGGCTTGGGAGAAGAAGTAGCAGATATTGCGCAAAGTGGCGTTTACACAGAGCATGTCTTCACAGATCCTTTGGGAGTCCAAGATACTGTAGAAGGTTCTCCAGCTTTCCAGTCTAGGTATGCCTATTTTGTACTAGCAATGTGAAGCAATTGAAGGAAATACTTACTGGATGGTTTCTCCCCATCCAATAAAATCTGGAAGAGTGGTCTGCCTTTGGATCTCTTCAAGAAAGTGTCATCTGCATGAATTGGTGGCGGGTCAAGTAAGACAAGCTTTCTCAATCTCAATTCTTTGGAACTGGATTCTTGCTCCATTCTTTGATTAGACTACATTCTTCTGTGTTAATTTTCAGAAAGTTATTAAACCCTAACTGTTCCAAAGAGTTTGGAGTGAAGCATTATTGGGAAAAAGGAAATTCCTTGTTTTAGTATGCATTGGTGTATGTGTATTCCTTGGCATAAAGTTCACTGCACTTGTAATTTGTTGCTTGGTTTTATTATTTCTTTTGCCATTTTAATGTACTCTTCACGATTCTCTTCCTGGAGAGGGTTTTGTAAGCTGCTCCATGAATTACAGTGGCATTTAAGGCCAAGGAAATAAGCAAATTATTCTGTGATTCACGTAGTTGCAGCACTCAGATTTCAAATGCACAGGTAAGCATTCCATTAGCATATAAATAACTTCCAATATTTATTTATTTAGAATACACACATACACATGTTAACAAATAATATTAGGCTGCTCACAATACAAAACAATAAAAATCAAATAAATACAAATAAAATAATATAAAAATACCAAACACTTATGAATTGGTTATTTGAATACTTCATGCTTAACACATCATTTTGCCAAAAGAGAATCTTTGGCAGTCTTTACATATTATTCAGAGCCAAAACAAAAGTAGCAAGTTGAAATACTTGCTTCATATGAATGATCAGGAATGCTGGTATGTAGTTGTTTAAATTCCTTCTTTTTACTTTCTTTAATGTTGTTATTCAGGTACCAGGATCCCAACCATCCCCCCCCCCAACAAATTGGAATCTGTAGTCATGATTTGTTCATGAGTTCTAATTCTTATATTGGAATGGCAAGCAGAGATTTCAGTTAGCATGAGATAAGCCTTCCTAGTTCTACTGTTTCTTTGGATGGGAAGAACCAGTAGAACCAGTTGCATGGTGCATTTCAGCATGCTTGTTTTATTCAATGGAGGAAGATATATAGCTTGGGGTACTCTTCTCCCTAACTTTGATAGCCAGGACCATTTGTTTGTGTCCTTAAGAGCAGAGAAAACAGCAATCCCCATTCTGGTACACAAGTTATCACAGGAACCCCCTTTGTACTTTCATCTTAGTTCTATTCTTTCTGATCACTCCAGTGTCTCCAAAGAGCTCAACAACTTCCTTTTCCCCTTAGAGTTTTCTGATGACACTGAGGCTGTGTTCTTCAAGTATCAGTTTTCCAAGGTCTGGATGGCTGATATTCTATTTGCCCCATGATTTTTTTATAGTAGCAGGAGAGACTTGAAATACCAAATAGTGTCCTTTGGAATAATCCTCAATTCCTATAGAAGATAAGCCATTGGAGGATTTTTCCTCTACCAGAAATTTATGGAGCTACGCTTCATCCAGAATTAGGCCAGTGGATTAGGCCAGTAGTCATCTTAGAGGCTATTGTTTGCTTCCTGGAACGTCTACAGTCTATATATGTTAATTTGACAATTGTTCTTTTTGTTTGGAGCTGGACAAAGAGGATTCGGTCTCTCTGCTCCTTGGTTCTTCAGGTGCTTGTCTTTTTTCAATCTGGACTAGATCAGTGCCTGCAACTGAGCACATTGAAATGGAAATTCTCAATATTGCCACCAGTTTTTGCAGAGGCCGAAAGATGGTCTGTATCCACACACTCCCACATCAAGCTATTCTTTCACGTGCCTTTTTATTGAAGTCTTTATGTATGCACCAATTGCTCTTATGAGAGTTACACCTGTTCTTAAAATCCCCGATCTGTGACACATTCAGACCATTTATACAGTGACTCTGACTTGGAAAATGGCTTTTCTTAATATCTGTAAAATCTGCTCTCTGAATATATCCTGTTGGCATACAAAGATAAGTTATGTCCTAAAGTCTGTTAAACTTTTTGCTGATAACAGGTTCTTTGTTTACCATCTGTCCACTTATCTGTAAAAACAGTGGCAGAAGCTGGACATCAGCTGTTATAACAACCTGGATGAAGAATAACTCTCTCTCAATTTTCTTTCTTCTGATTTCAGAAAGTTTCCTTAAATTGAAAGAGTTTATTGGCAGTGGTTACCAGTTATATCTGCACTTGCATATCCTTCTATGAAGTTTAGTTAGCTATTGTCCCAGCAGGAATAATGGTCTGCGTCACACAAAGCATAGCCATGTTAGCTACTCTAATAATCATCTTCTGAACAATATAAAATGGTCATGTGATTCTCCATATCTTCTTTGTAAGATGCCAGTAAGTTATTGTAGAGATGATCACTGATGCTTCCTTTAGCAAAAGAATCCTGCTGCAGGTGGTGTTTTGGTTGAAAAAAGTTCCACAACTAGTTCCTACTGAATTGGGAAGTTCCAACTATGGATTTTATCCTCTGCTATAGGAAAATGTAGTGCTACACTCTGAGTGCAGAGTATCTGATCCTCACTCAGTAAACTATTTCTTCTGACACACTCTGTTAGAGAGAAGTTCCCTGAGGACGGGCTCCAGCAAGAGTCTGAAAGCTCGGAAGGCTAAATCTTTGGACCCAGTGACTGACCCAGATTGGATCCTTCAACATTATCTTGGGACATACATATTCGCCTTCATTCACTATTTCTTCTATTGTATGTGGTCTTTTTTCTGTACAAGTTTCTATCTCTGCTAGCTGGTTCTATACATTTGCTGGGAAGTTGCTCTTTTGCCCTACCTAAGAACATAAGAGGAAATTGAATATCTGTTGGAGAGGGAGGGAATGAGCAATCCAATTACTGACCTTTCCATCCACTTTTTTTTTTTTAAATCTTTTGTGGTATGTCCAGTTCAAGTATTTTAGGAATTCAGGCTCAGTGTTTCATGCTTAAAAGAGTCTTAAAGTAATCAGTATCCAAAGAAAAGTTGGTCAGCCAAAATTCCCATTTCCATAATGATGCATTATGTAAAATGATACGCTGATCTTTGATGAAAATATTCCAATATTATCAAATGAATTATTAGCAGTGAAAATATCTTCAAATTTAATATGGCACAACGATGAGACAAATTGGTATGTGGTTCTAATGAATGCATTAGAGTTAAAGTACAAATTGCATACTTATGATGTAATCTGTAAATCAGTAACAGTTCCTTTCACGCTTGTTTCAAAATATTCTTTAAAACCGATGAAACAGAAAGAGGAAATTCCACAGGGCTACCACTGAGAATGCCCTGGTCCTAGTAGTTTTCAAGAAAGCTAGGCCTCCACCTGGTGAGACACTATGTGCAGAAGAAGAATTCTGGTCAAAGATCATTGATTATGTGTCATCCAGTTACTATCAGTTCTTAGCAACTTCATAGATTTTCTCCATGATGATTTGACTCTAAACTGTTCTTCTAGGTCTTCAGGGTCTTCCAATGGTGCACTTATTGTCACTAATTGAATCTATCCACTATGCTGCTAGCTGTTGCTTCCTCTTTCCTTCCGTCTTTTCCAGCATTTAGCCTTCTTCACATCATGTGCCCAAACAAAGATCATAGCTTCCAGAAAACTGCATATGAGGAAAGCCATTTCAAATAAGCAGCGCCCAAACTTTTGATTTATTAATATATAATAATAAGCATCATGAATTTAACTCAGGAATCTAATGGGGCTTAGAGTAGTTTGGCTAATATTGGTATGTTAAATTTTTGAAAGAAGACTGGCTGTTTTTTTCAGCTTACCCACATTGCATATGCTACAACATGGGTGTCAAACTTGCCATATCACACGATGGGTCACGATGTATCGTGACTTTTTTTGCATTGCTGGAGCTGGGGCGGGCGCGGCCTCTGTATGATGCAACTGGTCCGCGGGCTGGCAGTTTGACACCCCTGTGCTACAATAATCTAAGTAGGAGGTAGTCAGTTCTAACTGGTTTTTGTCTCCCAGAAAAGACATAATTAATGTATCACTTGCAGCTGGAAATATGCACTCATTATCATTGGCTAGCTTTTAATATATGTTTTAGTGACTTTATAAAACCAAAAAATAAAGGTAAAAATAAAATGCAAAACTTGTAAATGAAGGTTGAGCAATTCAAACAAAACTAAGATGTTTAAATAAAAAAAGCTGATAAGCTGACATGGTTTTTTTAAAAATTAAAAATAGCTATATAAAACATGCTTTTCTTTTTCTAATAGTACTAAAATACCAATTATATCTTTACATAAATTGCTGGAAACTTTTAAACAACAAATTGTTACAAATTTAACAACAAATCTTGATCCTGTAGAATGTTTTCCAATCCTTCATTTATGTTAATACTGTAAAATACGAAGGAGATACATAGTTTAACAGTTTAACAGCACATTAATTCTCAATACCTTCAAAGTTACATTTCCTTTATGGGACAGGCAATAACCATTCTGTTTTAAACATCTGTTGGAAAATTTTAAAATCATATTTAATAGTTCTGAAAACCTGGAATCATTGATTTGTCGTGTGGAAAATTCAGTTCCGTATTCCAAATGGTGCTGACCAGAGTTATACACTGACAAAGAACACGCCAAGGTATAGGGAAAAACAACTCCGTGAAGAACAGGAAGAGTCCTTTTTTTCTGACTGAGAACTAACTCAGTCCCAGACCCTTGGACTTTCTGGATTCAGCTTTAGCTAGACTGCAGTTCAGTCCAAGCAGAAATCAGTGCAAGAGATTCAGTAAACTTGCCTATTCTCCACATAAAGATGGCATCCAGTCACTCCCTTGGGGTGATTGTTCCCAGAAGTTCATAGAGATATAGAACACCATGGGGGAAAGAAGACTATGTGGTGGAATAGTATTTCCCCAGTACCATGACTGAAATCTGTTTTTGGAGTTGGGCTACTAATTTCCAGTCCTCTAAAATACTACGATCAATGGTGTAAAAAAAAAAAAAATAGACCAAGGAATACATGTAAGTATGTATTTCTCTTGTTATACTCCCTCAATAGATGGTTTGTCAATGTTATTCTTGCACTATGGCCCAGTTCAAAGATGTAAGGATAGTCAGAAAAACATACTTTTTTCCGATAGTTCCTTGCCCCCTGTATAATGTGTATCCTTCACTGCAAAAACTTACTCTTTTGTAGGATGTGGAATAATTGCTAGTTTGGAAAAGGGGGCATTTTGGACTAGGAAAATAGGAAACTGGAGTTCACTTCCTAGCATCCTCATTCTACACTAGATTGCATTTACCCAGAAAGACGATGAAATAAATAGAAACTGTTGGTGGCAGTTCTGTGATTTTGGGACTGAAAGCTGTATTTGATTTGTTGTCAACTGCTAGCGTCTCTCTTAAACTTAGTCCCTTTATCAAATTTTGTTAATAGCTAATGTAGCTGTTTTGTGGTGATAGGGGAAAAAACTGTAAGACCCCAGTTTAAAAACATTCATGCTGCAAATTAAGTTTCTGAAATGAGAATTTTCAGAGAAACTATAAAAAAATTACATCAGATGGTAGTTATAAGAATTCTTATAAAACTCTCCACAGAGTTAATTACCTCAAAACATAAGCATTTGACTTAATGTGTTGTAGAATTGTTTTAGATTCCAGGAGTCTTTTTTATGCTTTTTATCTTTTTGACTTTTTCTCCCCTTTTCAGCAATGAGTCTGAGTTGTTTAAAGATGTTGCTGAATTACCAAATGAGCAGGATCTTGTAAGGGAAGAAGCACAAAAAATGAGTAGTCTTTTACCTACTATGTGGCTGGGAGCACAGAACGGATGGTAAGCCTTTTTTATACTTTTGTTAATAATGATATTTTTGGAGTAAGAATATTAAAGTTTGGCGTTGCACGGAGTTGTTTGAGTTTGAAATTGGTGACTCTGGATAATTTGGGAAGCTCGAAACTTCAGACAAGGTTGAAATGGTATCAAAGCAGATGTTTTGACCTTAGAAACATTTTGAATTCGAGGTTTATACATTGCTAAATACCTATTTTAAGCTATTTGTTACAAATTCTAATTCCAGAGGAGATTTTCAATTAATGAATACTAATTGGAGTTTATCCCTAGTCATTCATTGGCCTGTTTATGATGGGAGACTCAGCTAATTAAAGCTGATGCTTGGAAAGTGTTACTATTTATGCTGTGGTTCTTATTGAGGGGGGAAAAAAAAGGGAAATAGAATAGCCTGATGTACTTGATGAGAAGGCAGAAAAAGAAAGGCAGTCAGAGGAAAGCTCATTGCCTCCTGTCATCAATTAGGAAAGTTAAAAATCATGGATATTTTATTTCAGTGATAGATTTGTTGTTCATCCCAAGTCCTTTCCTGTTTTTTTCCCTCAGAACACAGCTCGCTTCATCAGGCCCTCTCCCTTAACATATTAACTTTAACAATTTTCCACTTCTGCAAAATATCTTGCTTTCTTTCTTCCTTTGCTTCTGAGTCATGGCTGGAAAAAGTGTGTCTGAGGAAATATGAATTCCAGACCTAAAAAAAAGACCTAAAAAAAACCCTACAACCTTTCCTGATTAGAGACTAAACTATTTTGGGCAGAACAGGGACACACATACACAGTATACAATCTGGTTGAACTGTGGATTAGGTAGAGGGTGCTCCTATTATGTTCATCACTGCTTTGTTTGTATTAAAATGATATGCATCACCGGTAAAATGGGAGGTTTGGGTCCTGTAAGCAGAGTTTTTAGAGAAAACTACCCCAGGTTCCATATTTGAGCCATGCTGGCTAGGGAATTCTGGGAATTGAGGTCTACATGTCTTAAAGTTGCCAAGATTAAGAAACATTTCTGTAGATAAATCATGTTTAAGTCAACTTACAGCCTGTCTTCTAGTATTGTAATTTTTAAAAATCTACCATCTCTAAGTGATACTGCTGTTCTTCAGTGTTAACATGAGCGCGGGGATATTGAATTTCTAACTTATTTTAATTTTATTGTTGCAGTTTATATGTTCACTCTTCAGTGGCTCAGTGGAGAAAATGTGTTCATGCAATTAAACTTAAAGATTCAATACTCAGTATAGTGTAAGTAATTACAAATTAATTTGCACTTCCCTAATTTAAAATTAATTCATGTGGAGTGAAACATTCATTTTTGTTTAAGTGCTTACATTTTTATTTTTGAGAAAGAGAATATTGAGGTGGTAATGTGACAAAGAGGTATGCTTTTGATCATGAATATATTAATAAGGATCAATCTTGGATATAGTTAATTGTTGGAAAGAAAGAAAGGTAAAAAATACTAAACCTTATTTTCTGATATGATGTTGTGAGACATTAAATGCTCCCTCTGTACTGAGTGATCCTACACTGCACATAAACATTTTAGGTTTATTTAAGTCTTCTTCCTAGATGAGCAAATATTCTATGTAAAAGCTTCATAATTTCAGGCTGCTCTCATATAAACATCTGTTTATGCGCACTTTTATGTAGGCAACATGCTTGCTTGTGTTTAATTCTTGTCCTTATCTTGTCCCTAAGTTTTCCTCTTCCATCAATATTAGTTTACTTCCACAGGTTGCCCATTATTTATTTATTAAATATCTGTGCTGCTTATCTCACTAATACAGCAACTCTCGGTAGCTTATGATATAGTAAAAAGTTTAAAAGTCCTAAAAAGCAATTAAAATTAGAATAAAAAATTAGAAGTTAAGATCTAAGATGTTGGGCATCCTGGGGATGAGAATCATCTCTATCTTGTCAGCCATTCCCAACATAACGGGCCTCTTGAGGTCTCAGACATAAGCACCAGAGCCATGTTTTTAGGTCCTTCTCAGAAGGCTAAGAGTGTAAAATGTAGAACATGAAATCTTTGTTAATGGTCAAACATATTAGATGTGAAAACTGGAAATCTTGAATACACTCTCATTTTGAAATACTGGATCAAAGTTCTCATACATTTGATCCACAAAAATGCTTTAAAAACTTGGAGTACATTTGACTCAGTATGCTAGCTAGTTGTTGATAGAATATTTATAGATAGACTCCTCCCCCAATACTCGCATGTCTTTTACAGATGGCATGACTTATGGTTTATACAGCATGGGGCCTTCTACAGTTTAAGCGAGAAGCAGTTTGACTGTATCTGAGTGTAAATGCAAATTGAATGGAATTAATGAACATATCAGTCTACTGCTGTTAACTGTAATTATAACTTCTACCCTTTTCTTTTATTTAGGCATGTAAAAGGAATAGTACTAGTTGCACTAGCCGATGGAACCTTAGCAATATTTCATAGAGGAGTTGGTAAGTGCTTTACTCCAATATAGGAGTATAGGCTATCATGTATTTTATACTATTAATCTGGTTCTGAAAAATGTATGCATTAGAAACCTTGTATATTTTCAGAGATGATCTATTCAATTTATAATTTGAAGTACTGTTACCACTAATGTTTCCCTCAGTACTTCAAACATTGTATATTTATTTAGGAATACAGTATATAAAGCAATTCAGCCATGCTGGCTCTAAGTGGTATATAAAACAACGGTTACCAATGTCCCATGCAATAATATACAAAACATGCAGTTTAAAAGATTATAATTAATGTAATGTTCTTGAAACTGGCAGATCTATATAGCTTCAATTTCAAAAACCTTCCAGAAGAGCATTTTTTTTATGAGCTTCTGGCTTCTGGAAAGCCATGAGAATGGGAACTACCTTTAAAGTATGTGTGTGTGTGTGGGGGGGAAGAGATGTAATATGATAGCTGCTGCCATCATTTAATTCACCAATTCTATGGTTTTAAACTACAATTGCATCTAAAAGTATTAAAAATTAGAAGTATGTGAGTATATAATACGTATTCATACATTTTCTGACTTCCTTAAATATTTCTTTATAGATGGACAATGGGATTTGACAAATTACCATCTCTTAGATCTTGGCCGGCCTCATCATTCAATCCGATGTATGACTGTGGTGCACGATAAAGTCTGGTGTGGGTACAGAAATAAAATCTATGTGGTTCAGCCAAAAGCAATGAAAATAGAGGCAAGTGAAAACAAAATATTTCCTCAGACTGAATTTATGCCTGTTCTCTTTGCTACTTAAGTCAGAGAACCAGGAAAAACACTGCCAGGCCAGTATAAACAGCCACTAAGTATAAACAGCCTTAAATATTCATGCAGCCTGTTCGGTAAAGGCCTTATAGTGTGAAACGTATTCCTCTTTCAATGTTTACAATGGCTTGTGTACCATTCCAGGTGTTGCAGAGATTCCTCATCTATCTCTCCTCCTTAAATCTTAGTACATCCCTTTCCATAGACCACATACCTTCAGTTTTACTATTGCTTAATATCCAGAAGCCTTCGACTCACTTAAAACAATTTTAAATAAACTTCTGCTTGGGAGCAGGGTTTTTTATATTCCTTTTTGAATCTCATCACTGGAACCTTTGGCACAGTATAACAGTGCCTGGTTTGTAATGGGACAAAGCATAAAGGTATGACACAAAAACAATAAATTAACATTTCCTTATTTATTCCTTGTTTCTTATTTCTTTTTTCTCCAATATCAAATGATAATTTTTTGGGAGCAGGGATCTGGTTTTCTCCTCCACTTTTCAGTGTCTTCCACACTGATATATGTTGCCCACTCTCTCAACTCTAGGTCTGTCTTGAGGAACAATAAACGTAGAATAGTGATTCAGTAGTGATGTTGAATAGAAACTGGAAATATGTGTTAGATCCTGATTATGATCTTGCTGCTTTAAGGACAGTAAAGCTCCATTGCTCCACCCTGTAACAGCCAGCTTTACTTGTTCTAAGCTCTTTGATTTTGACATGATGAGGGGGGGAGAGGAGAGCACCAAATGAGAACTGACACAGAAAAGGGGAAGTTTAAAAGGAAATGAGTATATACAGTACAAAGAAAATATCACTGAAGGCCAAACAGATGGAACAAAATGAGACATTAGCATGAACATTTTAAAAATAGCATTTTTAAAACTTGGAAGATAACTAACAATAGATACTAATCAAGGGATGAGAAGACTTGCATTGAAAATCTTTTCACAATATAAAGAGAGAGAGAGAGAAAATGTATATGTTCATGTGTTATTATTTAATGAAGACTCTTAGACACTTGAGTGTATTTTAAAGGGTAAATAGGAGTGTGGGGAAATGTTTTGTTAACTGAGCCATCATTTTCTCTTAGAAATCATTTGATGCACACCCAAGGAAGGAGAGCCAAGTGAGACAGCTGGCTTGGGTGGGAGATGGAGTGTGGGTGTCCATTCGTTTAGATTCAACTCTCCGGCTTTACCATGCACACACTTACCAGCACCTACAAGATGTTGACATTGAGCCTTATGTAAGCAAAATGCTAGGTAAGTGCCATGCCTTGGAGGGGAGGTCGTTTTTGTTTTGGATGAAGTAAATTCCTTGGATAATGTTTTAAATATTTTAAGTATCCTATAAATTATGAATGTATTTTCCATATAGAAACAACACTGGGTGGGTCGCTGACAACCACATCATCTCTCAAGAAATAAAAGAAACCTTTATCTTTTTGAGCTGAAGAGATCTGTCATGGAAAAAAAAATAGAGGAAAGGGAAATCTGGATTTTTACCTTGAAAAAAAGAAAAAAATATAATTTTTTTAATTTATAATTCAAATAATTTTATTTGAAAACTAACAGTATAAATTGTACATACGTTTTATACGTCTATGTATAGGAGTTTACAATGATTTAAAGAAAAATGTTTTATTGCAAAACAGTTTCTTACTGTGGTATATATCTCCTTACAGGTATATAAAGGTGTGCACATGCACAACAGATATTATGTAATACACTGTAATCCCAGCAACAGCAACATCTGTACTGTTTACTCTAGAATATTCATCTACACGGCCTGGTACTGGGCCGTGGCCTCTTGGCCACTGGGCCGCGGGAATAACTGGCGAGCTCCCCCACTCATGGTAGCACGCTGTGCAGGTGCTAGCCGACCTGTTTGTGCGGGTGCCCTAGCACCGCCACCAGCATCATGTGGGCGCTAGTGGCCCATTTGCGCAGGTTCCAGGGCCCGTTTGTACAGGTGCCAATGGCCCGTTTGCGCATGCACGCAGGCACCAGTATGTTGCTGCAGGCGCCAGCAGCCCGTTTGTGTACGCATATATTTCCCTGCTCCTTCCTTTCCTTCCAGGCTACCAAGCTGGAAAGGTTGGGGAGCTCTGATCTGCACTACTGGTAACTCTTATATTCTGAATCAGCATAGTCATAATAGATCAGAAACAGGGCAGGTTGGGAAAGGTTGAGCTCTATAACCATATTTGAGCTTGCTATATTTGATTTCTTGCTGCACTTCATGCTGTTCCCTGGAAGATACTCTGCAGGACCAGGGAATCCATGAATACCATTGTTGATGGTGCTAGGACCAGCAGGTTGAAGAAAAAAACTAGGGTCAGTAGAAGATTGTATTGGATCTCTGCCCTTTGTGTGAATGCAACTCTTCTATTCTCAAAATAGCAACTGGTTTTGGATTCTTTGTTATTTAAAGAGTTTCCAAAGCTGGCTTTTTTTTTTTTTGGTTTACAAAACAAAGGAGTTAGATATAAACATTTCATAGATCTCTGAAGAATTTTTTTTATGTTTTAATGAATGCTGCATACTTCTTTCAGGTACAGGAAAGCTGGGATTTTCATTTGTGAGAATCACAGCTCTGATGGTGTCTTGCAATCGCTTATGGGTTGGGACAGGAAATGGAGTCATCATCTCAATACCATTAACAGAAAGTAAGTTTATAAGAATGAATGGGACATCAAAGAATGCCAGCAATTTTATACCAAATGTGAAATACAGACCAATATTCAGTGTTCTTCAGCCATGCTCAGAATCATGTGTAATCCTTTGTGTAAGCCTCTCAGCATGTTCAGATTGGAGCATCACGTAAACTGTAGAAAATCAATCAGTCAAGTCAATCGGGACTCTACAGGGATTTTTCGGTTTCTTCTCTGCCAGGCAGCTTAACTCACTAAAACTAAATCTTGGTAAGGACTTAATGATGGGACAGAAATTCATGCAGTTTTAGAATACAGGAAGATTGAACTGAGAGGAAAACCATGAAAGCTGACTGGTTAATGTTGGCCCAGTGATTCTTTCTCAGCTCAACACCTCACAGGATTATGTGTTGAGGAAAATAGGACAAGGAAGGAATATTAGGTATGTTCACCGTCTTGAGATACTTATAAAGTAATAAAGGCGGGGCAAAAATCAAATACGTAATAATTTTGCTTATGAGAGCGTAAGGTCTGGCAACCCAGTTTTCTCCATGTTAATAGTGCTGAAATGTGGCCTTGTTCTGGGTAAAATATGTGTAGGACCTCAGTCCTACTCTGTTGATTTGATAATCAGGAGCCATGATGTTCAATTCGGAAAGAATATATATTAAAATTTCCTTAAAAGATAGCATGATACTAAATATGTTAAGATTAAATGCATTAATTAATGCATTAAATGAGATTTCTTAAATTTACAAATAAATGGTTATAGGGAACACTTATTTAACAACTTTGTTCCAGTTCGGTTTCTTTCCACAATCTTCTGTAGCTTTAATGTTTGCTTTGTTCCCTTCTCTACTTTTTAGTTGGATAGACTTCGCTGCTGTCTTTTTTCTTTCCTGTTACTCTTCCAACCCCATAATGCGGCTGAAAAAAATAGGGAATGGGATAGCTTTTGTTCTGAGCATAAGTGCCAAGAGCGGCACTTTAATTTTAATTAATTCTATATTTTTTATTTACTTTTTTTGAAATGCATGTATGGTATACATATAGTTATGAAATGCTGTTTTATTTAAATTGTTAGTCATCTGCAATTATGTAAAAAAAAAAAAAAACCCGTCCTTTTCTCATCCATATACTTCTGTTTAGGGTTTCCACATTGAGAAACCTCCAGATTTGTTAATACTGGCATCAGATAGCAAATTTTCCCTAGAACCTTCTGCAATATATATAGAGAGAGCATGGTCACTATAGAGCATTGCTATATAATATATAATACTTTTTAAAAATTTAATAATGATGAACCTTTTTCATATTAATTGCTTGAGTATCATGTGCATTGTTTTCCATGCTATACCATTCATTGATCATTCATTAAATGTCTGGTTTGGCTTGTGTCTTCAATAAACAGAAATACTTCAAATAACGCATATCTTTAAATGGTGAAAATTCTTTTTCAAATTCACCATAAACAAATAAAAGAAATCCTTCCTATTGAGGTTTGCATATGCGCCTTATTATGCTCTCTAGAAATGGTTTGTAATCTGGAAAAATTGCTAAGCAACTATTCACCACCAGTTTTCCATAAGGCATAAACTTTTAGTATCCTCCTTTTAAGAGGTACTATATTTTACAATGATGAGGTTGATGTCCGTGACATTATCCTTACTGTCTTGGAAAGCATTGGTGGAACAGGATATAATTAGGTAAGTACTTGTCTCTTTTCGCTGCTGGTTGCACAAGCTGGATACACTGGATCCTGCTTGACCAGCTGACCAATTAGCACTTGACAGACAGCGCTCACCATCTGGGTGTCCCCACCCACCCCTTGAGAAGTGGATACTTTCTCTTTTATGATCTTGAGATGGGGAGAGGCATGCACTGTTTTTCTCAACCAAGAGATACATTTGGCTTTTGATGGTTGTGCTGTCCAGACCATTAGTAGCTGGGGCTAAAATAAAAATGCCATCTAATTTCCTTTTCATTAAATTTTAAATAAAAAATAAATCATAATAATCTCTAGTCATGAACCCAATACTTCCCCCTTTCTGACATATTAACACACACAATTTGGTGACATCTTTTGATAGTCTGGGGCTGTGCCTAAAATTTGGGGGGGTTGGGGGGCTACATTTGACCGTGGCTCCTCTACCTTAGCACAATACCAACAAAGAGGAAAAACAACAGCTCTCAAAAGAAACCAGCATGGCTGCATAAAGAACTCTCTGACAAATTGAAAGATAAAAAGGACAAGTATAGAAAGTGGAAAGAGGGGAACATAACTAAGTCAGAATATCAGCAAATAGCCCGAGCCTGCAAAGATGAAGTGAAGAAAGCCAAGGCTCAAAATGAACTAAGGCTTGCGACCAAAGTCAAAAATAACAAAAAAAGCTTCTTTCAACATGTAAAAAACAAGAAAAAAGTGAAGGAAACGATTGGTCCATTAGTGGGTGGAAGTGGCAAGAAGGTGACAAACAACAGGGAGAAAGCAGAACTATTTAACTCGTGTTTTGCATCTGTCTTTACACAAAGGGAAAAAACAGACCAACCTATCAAAAATAGTGCCATAAAAAACAAAACAGAAACACAAGTTAAGATAGGCAAGAAAATGGTTAGGGAGCACCTGTCCAGCCTAGATGAGTTCAAATCGCCAGGACCAGATGGATTACACCCCAGAGTTCTCAAGGAACTGGCAGATGTGATATCGGAGCCACTGAACTATATTTTTCAAAGATCCTGGAACACAGGGGAACTACCAGAGGACTGGAAAAGAGCTGATGTAGTTCCCATCCTCAAAAAAGGAAAAAAAATGGATCCAGGAAATTACAGACCTATCAGCCTGACCTCAATACCTGGGAAGATCCTGGAAAAGATAATCAAACAACGAATCAACGAACACCTAGAGGCAAACAAAGTCATTACTAAAAGCCAACATGGGTTTGTCAAAAATAGATCATGCCAGACAAATCTTATTGCATTCTTTGACCAAGTGACAAAATTAGTGGATCAGAGGAATGCTGTGGACATAATTTACTTGGACTTCAGTAAGGCATTTGATAAAGTAGATCACAACCTACTACTTGACAAGATAGAAAAATGTGGGGTAGACAGAACCACCACCAGATGGATCCGTAGCTGGCTGACCGGCCGTACTCAGCGAGTGGTCCTCAATGGAACTGCATCTATATGGAGGGAAGTGTGTAGGGGGTGCCCCAGGGCTCTGTTCTGGGCCCAGTACTCTTCAACATCTTCATCAAAATTTGGATGAAGGGATAGATGGGGAACTCATCAAATTTGCAGACGACACCAAGCTGGCAGGAATAGCCAACACTCCAGGCTTCAGATACAGAAGGATCTGGACAGACTTGAACACTGGGCACTAACTAACAAAATGAAATTCAATGGTGAAAAAAGCAAGGTTCTACATTTAGGCAAGAAAAACCAAATGCACAAGTACAGCATAGGTGGCACCATGCTCAATAGTAGTAACTGTGAGAGGGACCTCGGAGTCCTAGTAGACAATCACCTAAATATGAGCCAGCAGTGTGCTGCAGCTGCCAAAAAGGCCAACACAGTGCTAGGCTGCATTAACAGAGGGATAGAATCAAGATCACGTGAAGTATTAATACCACTCTTCAATGCCTTGGTAAGGCCACACTTGGAATACTGCATCCAGTTTTGGTCACCACGATGTAAAAAAGATGTTGAGACTCTAGAAAGAGTACAGAGAAGAGCAACAAAGATGATTAGGGGACTGGAGGCTAAAACATATAAGGAACGGTTGCTAGAATTGGGTATGTCTAGTTTAACGAAGAGAAGGACAAGGGGGGACATGATAGCAGTGTTCCAATATCTCAGGGGCTGCCATAAAGAAGAGGGAATTAAGCTATTTCCAAAGCACCTGAAGGCAGGACAAGAAGCAACGGGTGGAAACTAATCAAGGAGAGAAGCAACCTAGAACTAAGGAGAAACTTCCTGACAGTTAGAACAATTAATCAGTGGAACAGCTTGCCTCCAGAAGCAGTAAATGCTCCAACACTGGAAGTTTTTAAGAAGAGACTGGACACACATTTGTCCGAAATGGTGTAGGGTTTCCTGCCCGAGCAGGGGGTTGGACTAGATGACCTCCAAGGTCCCTTCCAACTACTACTACTACTACTACTATTATTATTATTATTATTATTATTATTATTATTATTATTAGCATCAGTTTAAAAAGAAAGAGGGAAAGGGGAAAGACAAGTTCTCAATAGGTAGCAAGTAGCGGCTGTAGCAATAAAACAGCAGTAATAATAATATTTTGCTATTTGTTTTGCCCATATTGTTCTTGCAAAGAAACAGTGTGTTTGTTCTAGTATTCTTACTGTGCATTAGCTAGTAGGAGCTTGCCCATGAAGCTCTTTTCAAATAGCAGAACACAAATTGTGGGTTCTGATTAATCCTTCTCCTTTGCTGTCACACCTATCCATTTTCCCCTTTCCTCCTTTCTTACTTTAGCTGTAATCCTCCACCAGGGACGTTTACTGGGGCTGAGGGGTAAGTGCTGATCCCAAACCTCCCCTGTATTCTCAGGCTTCTCTAATAGCCCGTTGAAGGCTGTTCCCACTTCTCTAAAATTCACCCCCTTCCCTTTGTTCCTAAGCTGTATTTCCACCTGCAGTTACCTGCATTGCAGTATTTTATGTTTGCTGAATGACCACCAATCCTACTCAACAGTTTAGTGGCCTCGTATTTTGTTGCAGCTGAATTTTTCATGCTGGCTTCTTGTTTTTCTTCCAGCATCATTTGTGACACCATAACCTTGTAGCTGTCATTAATCCACACCATTTTTTCTTTGCTGCATATCACATGTCTTTCCTTCTTCTAGCACTCTTCAAAATGGAGATAGTTCTGTCTGTCTAGCATGAAAAAAGGGCAAAAATTATAAGTTAAAAAAAATTGGCAGTGGAACATAGTACTTGAAAAATGAATTCCTTAAACTAGCCAACAGCATCTTTTTATCATTTCCTCATTCCCTGTAATTGTAGTGTTGGCTTTAGGAGGTCCAAGATTCATAACTTCCAAGGAAGGCATATTTTTAAAAGTTCTGTAACATGACAGACTATGTTTATTCACAGAAAGATATTAGAGTAAATGTATTTAAACTAAAGATGCCACACTGCCCTCTGATATTTGCTACAACAAATTAGCATGGTTACCCTAAGAATTCCTCTTCTAAAATATAAAAATAATTTGGTTTAATATTTTGAATATTTCTGTGTTACACTTAGTTGTTTTGGCAGTTTGAAACAACCTGCTCAGTATTGTTCATTCTAAACATAGACTTTTGAAATAACAAAATGTGTGGTTATGCTCGACCAGCAAGCTACTCCATTTTTTTTTCTTGAGGTACTTCCAATAACTAAGCATGCTATCTTTTATTTCTTTGCAGCTTTGCCTTGAATTAGCATTTTCTTGCCCTTTCTGTTTTATTTACCTGAATTTGCTTTAGCTTCTAGATTGGATATATCACAGGGTTCCTTAATTTATTTTTTACAACTTGCCATTTCACTGGGAAATGTTTTATTTCTTTCATTGTAGCCAACAAAGCAGCAGCAAGCTCTGGCAACCGTCCTGGCAATGTAATACGCGTGTATGGAGATGAAAACAGTGACAAAGTGACCCCTGGAACCTTCATTCCTTACTGTTCAATGGCACACGCACAGCTTTGTTTCCATGGGCATCGTGATGCTGTTAAGTTTTTTGTTGCAGTACCTGGTAAGCTTTCTGTGTAATTGTACTTTTCAGCCTTTCATTTCATGAGGTTTCTTCTGGAATCCATCATAGAGTTCTTTTACTAACAAATGAAGGCAAATATACACGTCCCAGGATAGGATCCAATCTGGGTCAAGTCACTGGTTTTGTTTTTCAAGCTTTTGGACTCGTGCTGGAGGCCATCCTCAGCGAACTTCTTTCACTTACAATTTCACAGCCACACTTGGAATACTGCATCCAGTTTTGGCCACCACGATGTAAAAAAGATGTTGAGACTACAGAGAAGAGCAACAAAGATGATCAGGGGACTGGAGGCTAAAACATATAAAGAACAGTTGCTGGAATTGGGTATGTCTAGTCTAAGGAAAGAGAAGGACGAGGGGGGACATGATAGCAGTGTTCCAATACCTCAGGGGCTGCCACAAAGAAGAGGGAGTCAAGCTATTCTCCAAAGCACCTGAAGGCAGGACAAGAAGCAACAGATGGAAACTAACCAAATAGTTAAGCAACCTAGAACTAAGGAGAAATTTCCTGACAGTTAGAACAATTAACCAGTGGAACAACCTGCCTCCAGAAGCTGTGAATGCTCCAACGCTGGAAGTTTTAAAAAAGAGACTGGACAGCCATTTGTCTGAAATGGTATAGGGTTTCCTGCCTGAGCAGGGGATTGGACTAGATGACCTCCAAAGTCCCTTCCATCATCATCATCATCATCTTTTGCTGTCCATCCATTAAGGAGAAATTGTTGTACATTGCTGCTTTCACTTGCAAAGGTTTCAGAAGAGGAATTTCTTTATAGAACCACCAGTTTTCTATCCTTTCTTTCTTAATTCATCCAGAGAAAATATTTACTTCTGATTTTTGACGTTGCTTCAGACAAGATGTTGAAACCAGCATACTCAAAAAGCTACAGCAAACTGTTTGTTCTAGGTAGGAGACACAGGTGGGATAAGAGTTTGGGACAGCATCTGTGCAGTTAGGGGAAATATAAACAAGTTGTCTTGTGTCTTTTCGGGATGTCTTCTTCTACAGTATTTTCAAAACACTTATGGAGGGGAAGCACTTGAAAGTGTAGACCCCCAACCATACTTCTATATAAGGAGAAGAATGTCCTTTCTTCCCACAGCTGTTATGACACGTGACAACTTGCCTCAAACTTTAGTAGAATAATCAAAGAACTCATTGTGATATCAGAAGAAGAATGAATTTGCACTTACCTGTCTTGAAGACACTGCACCTGTTCAATTATAAGCATAAGTAGTATCATCAGTGATGAAAATCAACAAGATGAAGGGCCATGAAGGGGGGCATTGAAGTAAGAACAATAGTGGCAGGATAGGAAATTGACACAAAGTTATAAAAGATGTAAAAGACTTTAAATATGAATTAAACTTTTACCTGATGTTTGGGCTGTGCTTGTGCATCATCCTAGTCGGGTTAACCAAGGTTTATCAAATCAATACAATTTTCTGGGTTAACTAGGCACGCTGTATTGTCAGTTAACCATCTGGATTCACACCATGCACTAAGGTGCTATTATGTGAACCAGTCTTGGCGTATGGAAATTGTATAAGATTGGAAAGTATGTGGTCATTATGAAACAGAATATTTAACATAGAAACTTTGAATCATTGGAATATCAGCAAGGAGAGGATTACTAGAATGTAGGCAACAAATTTTTAAAACATTGACAAGATTTTCAGTCTATGTTTTATTCACTTACAGAAGGCCATTGATTCAATACAAAGGAAGTTTTTTTGCTACTACCGCATGATTTGGGCTATCAAACTGCCATTCAAAAGACCATTGATGCTTCTGGGAACTTATCCTATTACTGTTACTGCATGTGTTAGGATAACCTTAAGATACTTGCTCATCCATTTTTCTGAATCTCTTTTTCTTCACGCCAGTGCCACAGTTTTAATGTGTGTAAAACATATGTTCCTGGAGTTGGGCTAGTGCAGGGGTAGGCAACCTTGGCTCTTTTATGACTTGTGGACTTCAACTCCCAGAATTCCTGAGTCAGCATGGCTGGTTCAGGAATTCTGGGTATTGAAGTCCACAAGTCATAAAAGAGCCAAGGTTGCCTACCCCTGGGCTAGTGCACAGGTCGGCAACCTGCGGCTCCGGAGCCGCATGCGGCTCTTTGAGCCTTCCCCTGCGGCTCCCAGCCTCGTCTGCCTTTGCAGAGAGAGACAGAGACAGAGAGAGGAATTGTGCTTCCCTGCTTCTCTCTCTCTCTCTCTCTCTCTCTCTCTCTCTCTCTCTCTCTCTCTCTCTCTCTCTGTGTGTGTTTGTGTTTTTGTGTGTGTGTGTGTGTGTGTGTATGTAAAAGAGAGTGGACTCACAGTGTTTTCCGAGGAGCTGAAAAGCTTACTGGGCGGAGCTCCTCCCTTTGCTGCGTCTCTGCAGGAAGCAGGAAGGGCAGGAGAGAGCTAGCTAGCCCAGCTAGACTGACTCAGGAATTCTGGGAGTTGAAGTCCATGAGTCATAAAAGAGATGAGGTTGTCTACCTCTTATCTTGTTGGACAACAGCTTGAAGCTTGTCAGGTGAGCAGCAGATAGGAGGGGGGGGAGAAAGAGAGAGAGAGAAAGAGAGAGAGGGAGAGAGAGAGGGAGAGAGAGAGAGAGAGAGGAAAGAGAGAGAGAGAGAAAGAAAGAGAGCGGGGGAAGAGGAGTAGCAGGCAGACCAAGGGCAGATAGAGAGGGAGGGAGGGAGAGAGACAGAGAGAGAGAGAGACCCTTTTGACATCTAAAATGAAGATAACACTGCATATATCCTTTTTTTTAACCTGTGTGTGTGTGTGTGTGTGTGTGTATATATATACATACATACATATACATATATATATATACACACACACACATACATACACACACAAACACACACACACAAACACACACACACCTATAATAAAGGTAAAAAAGGATATATGCAGTGTTATCTTCATTTTAGATATCAAAATGGTTTGGCGGCTCCCAGTGTTTTGTTTTTGGTGGGAAACGGGTCCAAGTGGCTCTTTAAGTGTTTTGGGTTGCCTACCCCTGGGCTAGTGTAATAAGAAATACATTTACCGTATTTTCCGGCATATAAGACGACTTTCTAAACCCTGAAAATCTTCTCAAAAGTTGGGGGTCGTCTTATATGCCCAGTCGTCTTATACGCCAGAATAAAGGTAATTATAAAAAACATAAATCACAAACAGTGCTGTAGCAACCTGAAAGCTGGCATTCACGGCATAACTTCAATTTTATTAAATCTAATTCAGATAGCTTATATTACTCTGCCAGAGATACCATGCCTATCTTAGCAGGATGAGAGCTAGTACAAGGATGATAACCTGCTTGCTGTCCTTCTTTCCTTTAGTGCCTGTTGGCTCATAGTCCAGTCTTAAAGGCCATTCAATAAAACTTCCATAGTGCAGAGTTACAAATTGTTAAGAAAACCAATCAAACAGCCACATAAGTTTATCCACAGTGAAACTAACAGCATCATCTAGTAGTCTCCAGAGGCTCTCTAATATAATTTAAATTTTAGAAACTTGCAGAAGGTCAGCAATGTAGGGATGAGTTAAATCTCCAGAGGGAGACTGCTGCATAATGCAGGGCCTCCATGTGAGGAAGTGTAGCTGGGATTACTGTCTGTGGTTTGGAAAAGCATCAGCAGCCAGATAGAAACACTCCTCATTCCCACTTCCCCAAGGATCAGCGCAGCTTATGCTTTTCTCCAAAGGGCCAGAAACTTGAAATGTCTAGGGGTAGCCTCACCCCACCCAAGCCCTTAGTTTACAAATGCAAAGGCCAAGAGAGAGTGTGTATGGGTGTGTAGGAGAAAAAGACATAAGAAGACAGCAAGCAGATGGGAAAGTGGGAGGTGACATTTGGAGATATACAACTATTACAGGCAGTCAGCTACCAGGACACAAGCTGTGATGAGCAGTATATGTACAGATCTGCTGCGTTATGGTGTGTCCAGTCCTTGGTAAGCAAAACAAACCAACAAAAAAACCCCCCTCACATATCAACTAAGAAGCAATGGCTGATAGTTCAACCTGTTTGCCTTGTAAAAGTAAAGCCAGTAGCAGCTTCTCTTGGGATATATGGATTGAGTGGGTTAAATTTGGTTGGAAAATATTATTTCAGTCAGACCTCAAAACCATTTAGAATTTGCCTTGCTATTTGCAGTGCGGGGAACACTTTGAGCTTTGCAATATTTGAAGGCTATGAGAGCCAATTTCCGCAGAAAAGTTACAGCTTTTCTCTGATACCTCACTTCTGCCCCTCTCTGTACATTCAGGTGTGTTCTGAAGTATTCTCCAACCTTCAGGCACACATTTGAGGGCCTTCAGCGGCGGGAATTTAATCTAATTCTTAGGACAGGGCATTTTGCGTGTGGATGGAAAGAGTGGAGTACAGCTCTCATAGTTAATGTGCACTCTGTTGTCACTGTTCTTAAAATAGATAATCTATTCCTCCAAAAATGGCGCTACATTTTCTTTCCAGCTACAAAAGCCAAGTAGCTTGGGAAAGTGAAGTGGAGAAAAGTCATTCCCTTTTCTGCTTTTTATATTCTGAGGAGTTTTGGGGGGAAGTACATTAAGGCTGTCTTTCAAGATCTAGTTAATCAGTTTGGCATTGGTAATTTGCTCTACAAAAAAGTAACCTCAATACTTTGTCCACGTTTAGGTCAGGTGATTTGTCCCCAAGTGAGTGGAAGCTCAGAATTATCTGGTGAAAGAACTACCGTCTCTACACAGGAACCCAATAGCCAGACTCCTTTAAAATCAGTACTGGTGATAAGTGGAGGAGAAGGGTACATTGACTTTAGGATGGGTAAGAACTTCGACTTTCCAAATGTTTTTTTTTGTTATTACCTAAAATATTACCACATTCTGATAATCTAATCCAATAATTACATAAAATATAAAATATCCAAATATTTTTCATTATTAATGGGTGGCTTAGTACATACCCATTAAAACAATGCTCAATAAGGTAGCATTTGAATTAGATGTAAGGGTGTCTTAATTTGAAGGTTTTTTAAAATGCCAACTCTTTTCGTACTGACAGAAAATTAAATATGTATCTTGGACCTTGTAGGTAGGCCAGATTTTCCAAAAATGTTTGCTTTTTAGAAGGAGAAAAATTTGTTCCTGTCAGGCTAATAATATCGCTGAAAGGAGAGAAATATAATATTGTAAATACTTTTTTAGTGTCATAAAACTCATGTGGGCGTTGAAAACTGATCTAACCCCACCAGTATAGATACACCTTCCTTTATACAAAATCCTATTACATAATTCTGTTTTTTACCAGAGGGTGATAGTAATGAAAACTGGATATTGAGTGTGTCAGTAAAATGAAAAGTCTATATTGTCTACAACTTATGATCAGGATTGAGATCAGAAGCTCTGTCACTGAGTATAGGGACTGTTAAGTGAGGTTCCCATAGGACTACTTCACTGCAATTTTGGCTGTTGGTTGTAGTTGTTAAGCAACTGCGTGCGTCATTAGGTGGATGGAGTGATAGGGCTCCCTTCTTTGTGTGGAAGGGAACTTACCAGCTGGAGAAACAAGGAAGGATCAAGAAGCTCCTTGCTATGGCTCTTCAGCCCAGCACAGGAGTTTCTCTCCCCTCCTGTATGCCTGGAGTGGAGGAGAAATCCTTTGGCAGGCAGCAGCTTGCAACTTTCCCCAGTGACTTTCTGGGGAAGATGGAAGAGAAGATTGCAAATGGCAATCACATGATCACAAGGCACTTAGCAACTGTTTGTAACTGCGAACAGATTGCCAAGCACTCGGATCTTGAACACATGACTTGGAGAAATGATTTATGGCAGCTGGAAGTGCTTTATCGATTGTAAAGCATTCTTTTTTGAGCGGTCATAATTTTGAACAGTCACTTAATAATCAGTTGTAAGTGGAGTATTACCCATACTTTCTCATTGTTTTTCCATAGTTCTATTTAATGCCAAGATGAGAACCTGGGGACCCCCAGATACTAGTCAGCTTCAGTTCCCAGGAGTTCAGTCAGGTTGGCCAGTGGTGAGGAAAGCTGAGATTGTAGCAGCAACACATGGGCTCCTATTTTTGTGACAAAAATATTCCCAGTTATTCAAGTCTGTAGTTATTTGGAAGTTGGACTTTTCCTCTTCCTCTTTTATAAATGCGTTGTATTTCTTCAGAATGGTTGTATGGATTACTGCCAAGAAGCTTCCTGGCAAGTATCCATTTTAATTAAAGTGAAACTTCTGATGTTATTTCACAACTGACCTTGTTTCTGTTTGTTAGCTATATTATTGTACGAAAGGCCAGGAAGCAATTACTTCTAGCCCACAATTCCGTATCTTTTGATAATTTTGCATTTACAGTGGTTTCTGGAATGATGGATAGTTATCTTCCCTTCATCTCAAACTGATAATAAAGCGTTACAGCTTTGGGGTGTGTGTGTGTGGGTGGGCGGCTACATATTATTAACTGAAATATTCTTGCTTTTAGGTGATGAAGTTGGTGAATCCGAACCCCTTGGAGAAGCATTACCAATTGAGCCTTCCGTTGCCAAAGCTGAGAGGAGCCACCTGATAGTGTGGCAGGTTATGTGTGGCAGTGAATAAGCTCCAATAGAAAATGGCTTGAGACTGCAAAAGCTTTTGCATGTCTTCAGTTTTGTTTTGTTTCTGTGGAACCCATTTCACTGCATACAGTTTGAACATTTCTTTGTCATTTGACTTTATATCATAAACCTCTCAAACCTTAAAACAGGAACCAGCTCGTGCTGTTTTACTGCATCAGTGTTATAAAACGAGAATAAATTGGTCTTCCCAAGCAGATAAATGCCATATTTTGTTTCCTAAATGCACCTTATAGGCCCCACTGCAATCTGTAACACAACTCTTTCCCCCCCCCTACTTTCCATAATGTTTTACATTTATATTTTGAGCCATTTTGAATTCATTTGCATAAGAGTAAAATAGAAAATTAATATTCTGGGTAGTATTCAAAAGAAACAGACGTGTAATATATACAGGATTCACTGAACACATCAAATTTGATGGTTAAAGTAAATTGGAAGACTTTGCTTTTTTCATTTCTGAATCCTGCCAATTTTGTGAACCTTTGTTTATATTGAGATCCTTGAACTAAAAATTTACTAGATATTTGGTTCTTTTTTTTTAAATTTAGTTCTAATAGCACCAAAAATCAGTACAGCTATCCTAAATAAATGAAAAAAAATGTGGTATTTTATGGGGAGAATAGTCTTCCCAATTTCCTTATTTAACATAGCTTGGAAACATCCAGTTTAATCTCAAAAGGGCATTAGATCAAAGCATCTTCCTTAAATACTCCTTGAGCAGACAATAGGCTGCCTTTGTGTGCTCCTATTCATTGGATCTTGGGGATTCCAGCTCTTCCCATGGGATATAGAAGGGCTCTCAGTGGTGAGCAAACTAGCAGTGACGATGCATGAGAAAAAAAAACCTCAATTAAGTTTAAATTATATTATGTTTCAGTCCATATTATCAGTCTACAGATGCCATTCAAAAGAAAGGTCTATCCAGTATGTTCCTTGATGGATTTATGAAATGGTGTATTCATTAATTTTAATGTAAGAACACCAGTGTATAAAATTTGAGTGGCCAATCTGAGAAATTGGAAAAAATACTATCATGCAATTTATTCTATCATTTCACATTTAAAGTTTTGGACTCAGTATACTCATTTGCTATCCAATTGATGGTAAGGCTAAATTAAATGCTATATTTTTAATCACTCAGAAAATAAACTGCTTCTCAATGTTTTCCTTGTTATAAAATTGGAGTGAAAATACTAACATTAAGCTTGTGTCCACTAAGAGACTCTGGCTCTTCCAGTTAGATGGGAGTTGCTATTATTTACATGACAGAATGGAAGAATTTCAAAATTTGAAATGGCAACATTTAAAACCAGGAATTGTCATGAAAAACTGCCTAAACCTTTTTATGCAATAGGAGCAGTTTGTCATCTCTCAAGGAAACATGTATTTAATACACACACACACACACACACACACACACACCTTTTTAAAATCACATTAAACTGAGATCTGTTGTGTAAATATTTATTTAGGCAGCTTTTTAATAAAAGAAACTATAATCTTATCTGATGAAAACTTAATAATTTTCCCTTCAGATGTACTGATTATAGTTTTATATGTATAAATACTTTTTAAGCATCCTATTTTGTACACAATGAATGCATTCTGATAGGTATGTATTTTAACCACAAAATGTGTGGCTAAAAATAACTGAGAATGGTTGAATGTTTAATACCTTCATATTTTGCTCATCAATATGCCCAATGTGATCTGATCACAATAGACTTAAAATTTATTTCAACTGCTGAACTGGGTTTAAGAATTTTAACAAAAGGAACACTGATGAAACACTGTGAGAAGGATAAGAGGATATGGGTTTTTTTCCTCCCAGAAATTGCTTTTGCTACACTCATATACATCCATACCAGACTCACGTTTGTGTTGCACTTTTCACACTTTTCCATCCAAGGAAATTTTAATAGTCAATTTGGGAGAGATGTTCAGGTGAGTTAGTGAAAGTTTCACCATATGTGCCTATATGGCACACATGAGCCTTACCAAAAGAAGATAGATTCTTAAGATTTTGTCCTATCCTCAGAGCAGTAGAAACCATTCATGCAGTTCATAATTCTAGATGTCCAAAAGACAGCCAGTTCCATTAACTTTGTTACCCCTTGCCTTTCAAGGCATCTTACTTTGAGGAGATCTTTTGGAAACATTATCCTGATTTTTCATGAGTGGTGGAATAGTTTTTGGAAAAAGGAATGAAATTCCCATATATTGGTTTTCAATTTTGTCCAGCATTTTCATTTTAAAATCATTAGAACTGTTTCTCTGATTCCTTGCTCAGACAAAAAAAATACACCTCGGTGATAATGTTTAATGACTTTCCAGATGGTAAATTGCCATTCTGTCCTCATTCGGGCAATGGTCATTCACAGCAGAAGACGGGAGTCTGCCAGAGAGATCAACACCTGTATTAGTGCAAGTGAGGGAAGAGCACCATTTTTCAGTCTCCTTTTTAAAATTTATTCCCTGTCCTAAAAAAATTGCAGTTTTAAAAGATGGATGTAGAAGATCCCTTTCACTTAAACTTACACACTCCCTGTTCCAGTACACTCTAAACTGTAGATGATTAAAATTTGCTAAAGTTCAAGCACCCAACGATTGCCTAACAAATCTGTTTTGAGAGTGTCATATGTTCAATGTGTAATCATAGTTCTAAAATCAGAAGTAGGAATGAGTCTCTTGATAGTTAACAGCTTTGTTAATAGTTTGAGAGAGCATTTCAAGCACAAAAAATGCAGCACATGATTTGTTTGGGTAAATGTGTTTTGCATGGTAAAAGATAATAAGTTTATGTATACTGCCATTTAGTTTATTTCTTGCAAGGTCTTCCTGCATTGGATCAGTTAGAGCTGGCAGAGTGTAGACACTTTATCATAGGCTGCCTTAGTAACTAAAATGTTTTATAATCTTCTAATATGCTAACTGTTCTAAAGAACATGGCGTCCTGAAAATAATGTTTAATTAAATATTTATTTCCATGTGAGTATTATGAAAGCTACCAAAGGACTTGAAACTGACTTGGCATGCTTACAGTTGACCCTGTGCATAAAGGATTTTGTAAAAATCCCAAGTTTGTAAAAAACGACAGAGTGAGAAACACACTTCTTTGTGGATGCTAACTTTATTTTCTTAACAGGGTTATGCCATATTGTAACAACCTTTGTTTTGCACTTCAAAACATTGAACACTAAATACTTCTCTCTAACAATGTCATTACTGCACACTTCTCTATCATTTAAACATGTTTTAAGGCATTTTATGGTCATTAACTTTTTGAAAATGTTGTCTAGACACTTTATGCTGAATTTTACTTTCCTCTGTAACCTTGAGATGAATACTGCAGCATTAAACCTGCTGTCTGTTTAAACTTGAGGCTTCTTTTCTGTGAGCTGATAAGCTCATATAGCAGTGAAGTTATTTCAGTATTTATTATTGAATCCTTGGGGGTTCAGAATGTAACTTTGTACATGAAATATATATAAATATGTATATGAAAAGCATTCTTGTTTGGTGTGTTTCTTATAACGTGGTCAGCAGCAATTATAATTTATATGTAATTTATTCATGTGGGGGAAAATAACTTTAAAATTAATATATGTCATGTGTTAAAGAACATAGACTCTCTAGGAGTGGAGAAACTTCTTCACAACTCCAAATTTAACTCAACCAAATTTGAAACAGTGAAATTCTAATTTTAATATTGAAAAAGGACAGAAATAAACATGTTTTCATGCTGGAAGGAATAGGGTTAAATGGGAAAAAAGATTCTAAAATCATCTTTGAAATTTCCCAAATTTTTCTTAGCAGATATTTTTCCTTACATGAATGATATGTGTAAATAAACATATAACTTGTTTGAAAGCCCATGACACCAACTGTATTCTTTTTTCCTCATAGGATATCTTTCAGTCAACAAATGAACCAGTCATTTATGATTTATAATTATTTGTATTTTGTCTTTTTTTCCCAGGAAGCCTCTTTAAAACAAGCCTGCAACATATTAAGTTGAGATTGATTTGTCCAAAGCTTGCTTATAAATTTGATGATTCAAAGTTGTGCAAATGGATTTTCATTGCTTAGGTCAGAGATCATTAAGTCACATAGGACTTCCAGTTTTCCTCCCTTGCCTGATCACATTTTGCAAAAGTTGCCACCATTGTTTCTTGTCATTTTGGTGGCAAGGGGTGGGAACAATTTAAAAATAATATAAATCAAAAACCAAACTTGGTACTTATTTTTAAAGAAAAGCTTCCAATCTTTTGTTTAAAAATTAGCATGTTGTAGCACTCTCATGTACAGTGAGGGAAAAATTATTTGATCCCTGCTGATTTTGTACATTTGCCCAGTTTATAATTGCAATGGTAGGTTTATTTTAACAGCAAGAGATAGAAAAACAAAAAAACAAAAATACAGGAAAATATATTTCAAAAAAGTTATAAATTGATTTGCATTTTAATGAGTGAAATAAGTGATCCCCTATCAATCAGCAAGATTTCTGGCTCCCAGTTGTCTTTTATACACGTAACAAGCAGAGATTAGGAGCACTCTCTTAAAGGGAGTGCTCCTAATTTCAGTTGGTTACCTGTATAAAAAGACACCTGTCCACAGAAGCAATCAATCCATTAGATTCCAAACTCTTCACCACGGCCAAGACCAAAGAGCTGTCCAAGGATGTCAGGGACAAGATTGTAGACTTACACAAGGCTGGAATGGACTACAAGACTTGCCAAGCAGCTTGGTGAGAAGGTGACAACAGTTGGTGTGATTATTCGCAAATGGAAGAAACACAAAATAATTGTCAATCTCCCTTGGTCTGGGGCTCCATGCAAGATCTCATCTCATAGAGTTTCAGTGATCATGAGAACAGTGAGGAATCAGCCCAGAACTACACAGGAGGATCTTGTTAATGATCTCAAGGCAGCTGGGACCATAGTCACCAAGAAAACAATTGGTAACACACTGCGCCATGAAGGACTGAAATCCTACAGTGCCCACAAGGTGCCCCTGCTCAAGAAAGCACATGCACAGGTCTGTCTGAAGTTTGCCAATGAACATCTGAATGATGCAGAGGAGAACTGGGTGAAAATGTTTTGGCACCTGAGACCAAAATCAAGCTCTTTGGCATCAACTCAACTTGCTGTGTTTGGAGGAGGAGCAATGCTGCCTATGACCCCAAGAACACCATCCCCACCGTCAAACACAGAGGTGGAAACATACTTTGGGAGGGACAAGACAACTTCACCACATCAAAGGGATGATGGACGGGTGAGAATCTCCTTCCCTCAACCAGGATATTGAAAATGGATCGTGGATGGGTATTCCAGCATGACAATGACCCAAAACATATGGCCAAGGCAACAGAGGAGTGACTCAAGAATAAGCCCATTAAGGTCCTGGAGGGGCCTAGCCAGTCTCCAGACCTTAATCCCATAGAAAATCTGTGGAGGGAGCTGAAGGTTTGAGCTGCCAAACGTCAGCCTCGAAACCTTAATGACTTGGAGAGGATCTGCAAAGAGGAATGGGACAAAATCCCTCCTGAGATGTGTGCAAACCTGGTGGCCAACTACAAGAAACGTCTGACCTCTGTGATTGCCAACCAGGGTTTTGCCACCAAGCACTAACTCATGTTTTGTGAAGGGGTCAAGTACTTATTTCACTCATTAAAATGCAAATCAATTTATAACTTTATTGAAATGTGTGTTCTGGATTTTGTTGTTGTTATTCTGTATCTCACCATTAAAATAAATCTACCATTACAATTATAGACTGATTGTTTCTTTGTCAGTGGACAAACGTAAAAAATCAGCAGGGGATCAAATAATTTTTCCTCTCACTGTACGTAACATAGCCCTGTGCACTTTTATAATTCTCATTCTTTGTGGCTTTGCTTTCTAAAGGAATGTGAAGGGTGCTAACTCAGGCCACTAGAAAATTGCATATTTCTGGATTTGATAGACTTGAAAAGACTAGTAGATTATGGCACAGATGCTCAGTTTTAAAGTTGTTAGCCTTTTCTGACCACAAAAGTTGTCTTGCTATTTGTAGATGATAGTTTCTTACCACCTAAACTGATGGTAAGTTAGCCTATTTTAAAAATATGTTCATAAATGGATAATCTATTTATATATAATTATAAGAAGTGGTTTTAGTTCTACCACTGCAAGCCAGATTGCTGTTAGTTTATGAAAGAAATAAAACATATTTCTATATGCCTACCATTATTACATTCTAGTAGCTTCTACAACCTTTGACCCAGTGATGCCTGGGAAAAAAGTATAAGGCCATTGAATAATTTACTTCTTTTGTGATATGATTCTGAGACCTCCTTCGCTCCTGGGGCAAAATTCACTTGGAGTCTTATAAGGGTAGAAAAAGATGGCTGTAGGGAAACAGCAGGTCTGACCACCTCCTCAAACTGAAACTCTGGCATTTGTGACCCTACAAGTACTGCTGAATTGAATCTCCCTGCATAGCCCACTATCATCCATGCTGGCTGGGCTGCTGGGACCTGTGGTTAGCTCAATATCATCTAAAAAGGCACTCCTTTTAGATGCTACTGATTTTAGACTGTAGTCCAAATTTTTTAAATTAAATGTATCCTGTCGTGCCTCTCAATCTTCACACCTCAAGTCAACAGAAAAAAGTAGAAATGTTGATATTTTATTTCCAAATGCCCAATATTTTAACTTCAAAAGAAGTCAAGCTCTTGAACAGATGACATTAAATCAAGAAATCAGAACTTACTTTCAGTTATGTACTTTCAGTTCTTAGGCTTGAACAGCTAATCTTTTAGATGGGTTTCGGTACCAATGCTTTATTAGTGGGCATTAAAAATGTTGAAAACAACACCCACTGTTACTGATTTTTCCATTGAAAAATACAATATATTGTATTGTTCATATTGTAGTAGTGAATTCATTGATAAACTAGTGACTGTTGGTAAGTCTAAAACATAAGGCAGATTTTTTTCCTTTGTATTTTTAGTTTATATATTTAATTTTTAAAATGTTAAGATTAAAAGTGGCTGGGTGAGGCAGAGCTAGAAATCTTGTCAGCAGTCCTTGAAAACAGCTGAGTCTTGCCTGAGATGGCTACCTTGTATTTAAGTTGTTCCTGAAAATTGTGAAGTGCACAGCCAAGTGCACAGCCTGGTACACACTAAACAATCGTTTAGCCCTTCAATTTTAAAGGGCTGTGAAGCCATCTCAGGCAGTATCTTTTAGGCCAGGGGTGTCAAACTGCCGGCCCAGGGACCCGTTGCATCATATGGAAGCCGCGCCCACCCCAGCTCGGGCAATGCAAAAAAAGTTGTGACACATCATGTGACTGTGGTAAATTTAACACCTGTATTTTAGGCTAAGGCTGCCCATTATGACATTTGTTGGACGTGGGGGGAGGTATAGCAATTAAGTGTTGGACTAGGAGAGGGCTAGGCGACCTTGGCTCTTTTATGACTTGTGGACTTCAACTCCCAGAATTCCTGAGCCAGCCATGCTGGCTCAGAAATTCTGGGAGTTGAAGTCGAGTCATAAAAGAGCCAAAGTTGCTTATCCCTGGACTAGGATGAGAACAGCCAGAAAACCTGAAGCAGATCTGACATGGATCGGGCTTTGTGTACAGAAGCAAAATCAAAGCCCTGACTTTGTGGCAACCAACTTCTCTAGGCAATGTATTCGTTTATGTCTTAGTTTTAAATATATTGAAAGTACAGAAGTTAAGCACCGAAACAAGTATCAACACAGAAATGTGTGTGTGTGTGTGTGTGTGTGTATCAAAACAAATTTATATGCATAATTGAAGTTAATAAATGAATGTTCCTCCCAGATTTCTGTATACAGTACAAATATGCTCATTTAGAGATTCAAGCTGCATGCATTACATCAACTCACCTCTAGAAGTGGAGCCGATATAATTAGGACTGCAGCTAGTGACTGTTAATTAGGAAAACCTTTAACATTGCTGAAATTATCCATGTACCATTTTCACAATGTCAAAAAGAGAACGGGAAAAGTTAAATAAGGGAGGAAGAGTCTTTCTAAGTGCTCACACATTCATCATCCTTTTTCACTTTGGCAAGTAAAGTCATCCAGACCAAATAATCTGACCTTTTCTGATCAAGAAATCCTAGTCAGCTCTAAGAGAATTCTTTTTATGGAAGGTTTTTCTTTTTGTTGTCAGTCTCACATTCCCAAACCACATTTTGGTTTCACTTTAAATAGAATACTTGAATTTGTGATATCAAGGTAGGGAAGAATAGCAGTTTCCTACCAAATTTTAGTGATTTGTGGCACTGCAGAGTTTGAGTCTCTATCTTATTGGCACTATTATGGCTATTGGTATTTTTGCTCTTAAAATAATGCAAGTTTTTGAAAATAAATTAGTATGCCCTCATTATTACCTATTCAGATATTTCTCATTTTGAAGGGCTTGCATGATGGAATAATAATAACAACAACAACAATAACAACTGCAGTTATAACTGAATACCTGGGATGCAAAA